GGGGGAGAGGAGGAGGAGGAGGAGGAGGGGAGGGGTGGAGGAGGATTCGAGGCGTCGCACGAGGAAAGAGACGAGCGAACGTGGGTGTAGCGGAAAAGCCGAGGATAAGGTGGCCGACTGACTGGCTGACTGGGTCTGGCCGACCAGGGGGGAAGCGACGAAGAGTGGACCCGGGGCCAAAGGGAGGATGGTCCACGAGTGTATCGGCGGACGGGTGGATATTCCGTGGGTGGTGAACGATGCCGCGCGAGATGTTGACTGTCGCGACGACGACGGCGTCGTCGAGCCGCGAGGGAGACGAGGCCGAGCGACGAGGTTGCAGCTCGATGTGATTTTCGTTCCGATGACAATGAACTCGCGCACTTAATTCGAGAGCCCAGAACTGCGGGACTCTTTTGGACCAGCTACGAAGCATTCACTCACTGGAATCCACACACGGCCACCAGCAGCACCTACTCACACGCGAGACACGTTTAATGGACGAGATAACGTCTCCACTCGGCGAAATTCGTTCCTCGACGAAGATTCCATCCACCACATAATAAAGTATATATATATATATATATATATATATCTTAGAATGGCGCGTATTTACGTATATCTATATACACGTATATGTTACATATATATAATTATTAAAGGCGAGTCCAGGACATCGCGGATCGGAGCACGATCACACTTTGGCGCACGTTGACGAAACGGTCGACACACGTTCGAGGGAGACGACGGGTTGCACGAGGATCTCGCGGATGGAAAGAACGAAGAATGGAAAAAAGGAAGAGAGAAGAAGGAACGAAAGGAAAGTCGGTGCTAGGGCATGGCAGGCAGGCGGAATATCGGAGTACTACCAGCTAAGAGTAGTACCGTCCGTTCTAACTAACACACATAGAGACAGATTGGGACTGCGCGTGCTATAGGATAGGATGGATGGTGATGGCGGCCGCAGCGGCAGCCACCGCCCCCATGCTTCTCTCTCCTTCTCACTTCCTCTCGCTCGTCCCCTCTCTCTCGCTCGCTCGCTCGGCCTCCCACGCTCCGCTTCCGCCCCTCCCGAGTGCCCCCACCGCTCACGCCGTCTCCCCACCGCTTTCGCGCTCCACAGCCTCCCCTCCCTCCGCCTCCAACTTCTCCTCGGCCACCCATGACCTCTCCTGCAGCGATCTCATTGCCAGTAAAGCAGGCCGGTAGAAAAGACTGGACCGATCGGTTGTCCGGTAGGATCGGCGAGTGTGGAGGGGGGAGGGGGGAGGGACGCCACCCACCACTCTTCATCCCTCCTACCTTGATATTTAACTCCCACCAGATCTTCACGTTTACCCCTACTTATACGTCGCGACGCCCCCTACGCACCCCCCCCTCCCACTACGCCCCTACACTGACGCTCAAGCTCGACTCTCTTTCTCTTGCGAGGAAACTCTGGCCACTCCGTAACGTCGCCACATCCCCTACCTGGCTTCCCGCGTGTGCGTGAGAGCGCAATCAAGACCAGGGACGTAACTGTGACTCCTGGGACCCTGCTGTCCACGTGGACGCTTCTATGTTTTGGAGATCAGCACCTGTCCGGGATACGTTAAAATGTCTTTCGGCAGTGTAAAATTTCGATTTTTCCTCGTACGAAGGGAACGTGAAATCGTCATTCGTGGATTATGAATTTTTACGTAAAATTCATAGTAAATTTAGCTGATAAAAAATTTTGCTCTTATCGCGCTCGTGTGTGTCACCGGAAACCGATATCTCTCGAGGGAGAGAATACAACCTTGCTTTAAAAGACTCATGTGCTACTGGTTGTAATTTCGACTTTCGAGATTTCAATGTCAGGGATGTACTTCAATAACGGTAGCTTAGTTCGCGGGATATCTTCGATAAGGAAAGTAAGGACGAATGGTCGTGGCGCGGTCGACGGCAGCGATACCATGGGTTATCCCAATAACGCAGCTAAGTCAACTCGAAAGGTTAAATTCCCCTTCGACACTTCACTCTAAATTTGTATGTTACATCAAAATCTCTAAATATACCTAGAACGACGTTACTCCGCTCGTGTTCTGAATTCCTTCTTTTACCATCGATCCACCAATTCCCCGGCTGGCCCTCCGCGTAGTCTACAATATCGCTAATCTGGGTTTCGAAAATCATTATGCCGTCCGGGTCCAAGCCTTGTTTGCGCTCACCGCAAGGCACTCAAATTTATTCCAACCAACCGGGTACAGTATATCCCTATACCTACGACCACGTGTGTCTCATTCCTTCGGGACGCATTGACGAATAAATTAGACCTTTTGTATTTCTTTTTTTTTTCCTCGAAAAATATTATTACCACCTACCACGTACCTACCCCCCCGAGTGCTGGGGTGTCTAGAAGAGGCATTAACTCCGCTTCTTATCCGCTTGTCGTATATATACGTGGTAGCTTGTAAAAACCGCGAGATCGTGTTCGCCAGAGGTAGGTAGGTAGGCAGAGGATGGTGAGGGAGAAAAAAAAAAGATATTTGTCTTCGTAAAATCTTCCACAGGCCGTCTTAGTTACAGCCACGTTGTAGTAATATAATAATAACAGTAAATAGCCAATGACGACAATACAGCAACGTAATACACCGTGGTTATTAAAGTTCCTCGTTATTAGCCCGACACCATAGATTCAGACTGCGTATATCTATACATATTCATTATATCAGCACAATAGTCGTATTTCATCGAGAGTAAAGATATATATTTCATTCTCGTCCGACGTATCGTTAACACGCGCAGACACTATTTATAAGACGTGAGGGTCGAGGGGTTATGGTAAATTTTTTTTTCACCTCGATACCCATATAACGTTTTTTTTTCTTCACGTACTCATTAATGCCGCAACCAAATTCGAAAGACCAGACCGTTTGGAAATTCGAATCGATGCCTACCGATAGGCCTAGCTGCTTTCAAGGGTCTCGTAAGGGGCGCCTCGCGCGGTACACTATTATTAGTATGCAGCTGCCCGTGAATTAGTGAATGAACGGAGGCAACGTCTCGAAACAATGTGCCTCTGAAACAACATCCAAGATGAATGCGGAGGACCAATGAGCGGTGAGAGACCGAGACTCGACTCCCCGAAGCATATAACAGCGACAATCACCGCGGGCAGTCTCGTCGCGCCACGTCGTCGAACGATGACGAAACACGTTGAAAAAATACCCAAGAGTGGTCACCGTGGATACAGGGCAGTGGACGTAGGCTCGAATAGAAAAAAAAAAAATTTTTTTCAAAATTTTTCCTAGCCACCTAAAAAACAAGGGTACTTCAGTGACTACGCACGGCCCTGAATTCTGATAGCAGCGCACTGGTCGCCAGCGGCTGGCGGGTTCGTTACCGATGACGCGCCGGACGGTCACGAGAATAGCCGAAGTTCTACGAGCGCAGCCGAACATCCACCGGTGGGGATATCCTTGTCCAGGTGGGGATTTTTCATGCCCAACTGGGGAAATTTTACTCGTTCCCTGCCCTCCTAACCCCCCTTTTCCTTTTTTTTTCCCTTCCCGCAGCAGCTCCGCGGCGCAACGAGTTACCCCCTTTTTGTTGCCGCCCATTAGGCGCCGCCGCGGCGTGATTCGCAACTGTGTTTCTTTATCTCGGACGCGCACCGGTGTCGCGTCTGAACTTCGAGACAACGACCGACTCCACGATTTCTCTCTCCTCGTGCACAGTACAATAGAGACGTGAATCAGCGGCGTAGGTATGACGTGTTTATGTACATATAACGGTAATAACGAATACGCGTTATTCGCAAGTGCAAAGTCCTTTCGCTGCTACGGGGGGATGAACATGAATATACGTATACAATATGTACGTAAACATCCGTAAACAGGATATAAAGCACGAATATATAGATTTTCGAGTAATTTCAATCAACTGGACACCGAGAGGAGATCTCGTTCCTTTCATTGGTCCAGATGGAGTCTGCGCACTACATGCATGAATAATACCACCTATCTTGAAAAGCGTATTAATATCATCCACACACAGCATTATGGTTATCAGGAGCGTTAACGTTCTCTAGGTACGCAGTGGCGCTTAGTCACTATCCGATATGGATAAGATGGACTTTTTATGGGAGATTCGAGTCTATGGATCCTTCTGTATGAGGCAAAGGGAATCTCTCGAGGACTTCGAGATAACTCGATGATTTCTCAAGAGAGGGACGGAGACATATTTAAGGTGACGTACGATAGCTATAGATATACCAATCGCGCCTTGAAATAATTTCAAAATATTTTATGTACGTTAAAAAAAAAAAATTTTAGACTCCATCTTGTATTCTCAATCTTATCAAATAAAAGTGAAAAACGCGCGGAGATGGGTGTCTGGGTAATTTTTCAAACTTAAAATAATATCCGTTATCGGGCACCGGATAGGCCTACACGGTGGCGCGAGACTTGCCAAAAAGTAAAGGTAGGAAACGTTTGACCATAAAACTATAAAGTTTGCCCGTAAACCGAACAAGTTGGCAGACATGCTGAGTAATAAATCTAGGCGCACAATGATAATTATGTTAATGGGAAAGTACCGAGAGAGAGAGAGAGAGAGAGAGAAATAGAAAAAGATGTATAATTACAGTATCGTTTACCCTTTGACCACCATCGTTTCAAAGTTTTCTCAAGTCCGTCGGTGATAAATATATATATAAATATACGAAATAGAAAAAGATGTATAATTACAGTACCAAAAAGTAAAGGTAGGAAACGTTTGACCATAAAACTATAAAGTTTGCCCGTAAACCGAACAAGTTGGCAGACATGCTGAGTAATAAATCTAGGCGCACAATGATAATTATGTTAATGGGAAAGTACCGAGAGAGAGAGAGAGAGAGAGAGAAATAGAAAAAGATGTATAATTACAGTATCGTTTACCCTTTGACCACCATCGTTTCAAAGTTTTCTCAAGTCCGTCGGTGATAAATATATATATAAATATACAAGCGACCCGATGATTTGGCCATCATCGGAAACAGTCATAGCAAGACAAGATACCCACATATCATATACCATATATTCGAACTAAAATTAATTTAATCCTCAATTCTCAAAATTTCCTCTTATCCAACAAGAATAACAACAATAGTACAAGGTTTATCAAAATTCTCAACTAATCTAACCACAAGGACTTATCTTCCAGCTACGCGTACTCTGACCTCTGACCACAGGTACGCGCGAAGCCCCGTGACGAAATTTTGAAAAATTTTTCAAAACCCACCCATACCCCGCGCACGTATTACGCAAACCGTATAAGTATATAGGTGGTCCAAAAACCTGGCCGGATCCGTAAAACTGAAAATTCTCGAACAAAAACCTGACCTCTCGAACAACTGTGCACCATGTGTGCGCCACTTGCGCCTTTTCTCCTCTCTCTCTCTCTCACTCGCACTTTGCGTCTCACTCTTCCGCTCCCCTCTGCCCCTCATGGCGCATGCACACCGAACCACGCAGATACGCCATAGGTGTATCTCATAGATGACACACACTGAGCAGTCACTCTTTAAGCATGGAGACCCAGGACAAGGCTTGGTAGCTGTGTCCGGCTTTGATGTGAAAGAGGAACCCGGTTAGATTTGAATTGAGAAAATTTAAAGTCGACTGATAAAGAGTTCCTCTGCTCGTCTCGAGTAAATAGTCGTTTGAGGACTTATCGTTTCACCACTGTTCGACGTACAGCTCCCGATAGGAATATTTATACGGGTATATGACTCGTAGGGGTCCCGGGTACCTAGCGAGACCACGAGTATAACCTGCAATGGGTATTTATTTGACGTACACTGTGTATAGCCCACGGGATTACTCATAGTCAACTGGGAAGGACTGATAGTAAAAATGGGTAAAGTCAGAGTTCATGTCTTTTCGTACTTTCCGTCGATCCTGAAACAACAAACAGTAGGAGATCGCGAGGCTGAGCTGTAAGGAGGCAAATATTTGAACTTTGACCCTAAGTACATTTGAGACTCCTATTATTAAAGTTAAGGCTACCCGTTATGGTGGACTGGCCGAATGAGCTGATGGGAGGTGAAGGAATTATATTTTTGGATATAAGGGAATCGTGGCTGAGCATGTTTTTTTCAAAGTCGAAAAATTTCATCGAGATCAGGTTTTTTGGGGGTCCAGTTGGGACACGGTGGACGTTATGGGTGAATTTTAGTGCATGAGTGCTTTTTGTGGTATCGAAGTACTGGGTCTGTTTTTGGGTGTTGATGTACGTAGAAAAATATTGTAATCTTGCGGGTGTTGAAAAAAAAAAAAAAGAAATTGGAGCACCAAGCATTGCTGTACCGGTGGCTGATTTTATTCTCGAAATTTAATACCCGTGACTCTTCGCTCTTGTTCCTCGCGAGTCGATAAACGCGGACGCTGGCGCCATTAATGTTTTTCGTCTGTCAAAAGGTAAGACCGAGTGGACGCGTGGGCGTCTGGAGATTTTCGATGAATTTTTTTTTTTTTTTACCGGAACATCCTTTCTCTTGCCCCCCTGATTTTCGGCCCTGCTCTCAGTCTTGACTTTGCGCGCGGAGTATCGGCGAAAGTTGAGAAGGACGGACGAGGGTGGACGTAACGAGGGTTGAAAACTTTTCTCCTGCCAAGTCCGGAATAAACGAAGGGAGGAAAAATGGGTGAAAATGAAAACGTGGAAAATAGTGGGGAAAAATAATAGCATAAGCGGATAACAAGTATTCTTGAGTATTGTAATAAATATTTATGGAAATTTTTCTATATTTTTCCAGAGATCGCTGTCATCCCCTTATATACATGGTACGGAATGGTCGTAGGGAGGGTAAAGTATACCCCCATTGATTTTTTTGGAAATTCAAAAGAGATCGCACCAGTCGTCAAGCCCTATTCTCATTCAGGATGAATCTCGCCAGGTATCACGTTCCACGTTCCACGTTCCTCGTTTGTCCGATATGGACAGATTGCACGTGGAACAGGGAGCGCACTTCAGAGCACGAGTGCACCAGCGCACAGTCAAAGTGTGTACTTATACCTTTGCTCCCGAGGCTATGTTCGCCATATGGGCAGCAGCCTAGGGGTTGTAAACGTGTTCACCTTCGATTTTGAGCCCGTATGCGGGCCAGATTTTATGCTCTCTAGGTAGGCCGGGGCCCGTTCGCTCACTTGCATGCGCGCCGAAACAATATACAAAGCACGGAAGGTCCGCGTATACGTGCAGGGGACTACGAGTGCGTGTGCATCCCATGAGGGTAGTCCCCTGAGAACCTCTGAAAGTGAAATCTCTCATCCCTTCTCCGAAACGAATGAGACTCCTTTTTGGTAAAGACTCTCGAGCGTCAAAGTCATTTGGTTTAGGGAAAGAATTTTCGAGAAAAAAAAAAATTATGGCGAGTGACGTCGGATGGGATGAAAATTAATTTTGAAAATTTTTTCAATCTCATTCTATTTGTTTCTGGACTTTGGCAAACTTATTTATTCACAGCTGTTTGCTCTTCTGACACACTCCAGATACTCTGGTCGTTGCGTGCATACGTGGACTGTGCTCCGATGATTTGTATATTGAAATGACTCGAGTGATAATTATCTAGTACGTGATTCAGAGTGAGCGTCAGGTAAATAGTGCGGAATACAGGGAGGAAACGACGGAGGAACGTGACGGAACGAATCGGAGCTGTAAAATCGAAATTTCCTCCACCGATTAATAAATTGAGATTGCTCACCGGTGCTGGGTCAGCTGATCGGTGAAGGCCTAGAACTGCATCCAGGGGACAGTCACGTAGACACTGTAGCATAACACTGCACTTCCGAAACGCGAGATACAGGGAGAGCAACGAAAACTAGGCAAGCGAGAACTTCCTGTACCGTATAGGAAACACGGCTAGAAAAAGTGTAAACAAATAGCCCGGGAGCGCGAGGCAGCTCGAGGCACCCCGACCGGTGTCCCAAGACAGACTGACTTCGTCAATAATTAAATTCGACAACTAATAATTCTGATTGGTCAAGAGCGTTACAGCCGTTAACTCTTATGCTTTTCCTTGAGTGAGAAAGTCTCAGCGAAGCACAAAGGTAGAACGTTGTCCGTAGTCGGAGTCACCGAGAAATGACGTCACAGCGCGTACGTCGTAACAATATACACCAGCATCCCGAGCTACGGAAAATTCGTTTGAGAGAAATCATATTTAAAAAAAAGTATTCACTACCGCCGTAAAAGACTCGTCTAAAAATTTTTACAAAATTTCATTTTCACCAAAATTAATTAGCGAAGAAAAGTCATTCTGAGTAAATATAATTATTACAGTTTGAGAAGAACGTCCACGTGCGTCATCGAAGACACAAAACGCTAGCGATAAATATTAAGTTCTGGACGCTGCTTTGCTTTATCGTCACGGCAACAGCGCCGTCATATCTCTGGATTGGTCGGGTGTCGCGTTACGTCCCGGGCGAACTTTAATTTCCCGGGTAAATAAAATTCTCAAGATTTTTTACAGTCAGCGGACGTCTCTTTCGTTTCATGGACATTCCACGGACGTCCGTATGACAGGTCGTGCCAGTCCACGTGGTCGTACGACATTGTTTACACACGTGCGAACTGTCACTTTCACGAGAACTGTCATTCGCTGCTCTCTCGCGAGAATGCCAAAAGATCGATAGAAAATGCTAGATGTAAAAATAATCCAAAAATTTAACTATACGTACGCATTGCTTACTCTACGCGTATGTACATACTGACAGGTAGAAAAGTCCGTACAAAGCGCCCAGTCGTTAACCCTCCATAATGGCGATTTAAAGGGATAGCGGTTACGCATTTTGGGAAGGTGTGCACTGCAAAATGCATCAGGAGCGTCGATAGATATTAGATACTAGGGGGTTCGCCCTAGGGTAGCAAAGCTAAGCCAGTAATGCAATAACTTGAATAGATGCGCACGCAGGCGGAAACAACATAACCTACCCCCTACATGCACGGGCGCACTTCTACCCCATATATATATATATATATATATATATATATATATATATATATATATGCATGAACATAACCTAGCGAGACGAACGTTGCCGATTGCTAAAAGGGTCTTGGGGGGGGTTCTCTCGGGAAGGTACATTCCTCATCTTTTTCTCTCGTTCACTCATTTTCCCAATTCTCTCTCTCTCTCTCTCTCTCATACTAGCTACTCATACCTATCTACACGTAAGTATCCAGCACTATCTACTCGCCATACGTGCTCGTATGCGCCCCCTCGGGCCCCTCTCGATGCTCCCAGTCAAATACAGGGAAAAAAGACAGAACGAACGAATGAATGGCTCCCAATCTGTTCCATCCCTTTGTCGAGCGGCTCGTGCCGCGTGTGCAAATCTACCCTGCTACCATCCCTGCACACGCCTCACACCTGAGCACAATGGGGACCCGATTTTACCCTCGCGCACCACCCTTCTCTATCCCCGTGTTTAAATACTGGCTCCCAGGGGGTGGTATATGTACTGGCCCTCTGCTGTCTTCCTCTTCCTTCGCCCCCTCAGCCACCCTTACTTCTGTACGTCACTGTGTACATATTCACGGGTGCACGGCTGCCACACGATGCAATTTTACTGGCTGTCCTGTGCTGAATCGGTGTACCGTGTTACCGGTCTTATCTTCGTTCTTTACCGATTGGGGGATGAAATTTGAGAATGAGAAAGAAAATTTAGTAAAAATCAAATTTCAATTTCTATACCGAATTCTCGTTCAATCTCTTCAGGTGGAAGGTATATCTAAACTGAGGGAGGATGAGCACGAGAGCAGATGGGTATTTTATTGTTAAAAATTTGTAACAATTTTTTTACTCGATATTTTTTTAATTTAATCTTATTTTGCTAGTATTATTTTATTATGTATTTTTGTGCTTAATTTTTTTTTTTCTTTTCTTTTTATTACATACGATTATGCGGAACACTTGGTTTCGTCGATTTCGTTGGGTTCAGTGGACCTTACAGATTTCCTTTGTATCGACATGACTTCTTGGCGATGTCAAACGATATTTCAGCCGGTGAATAAACCTGGCGGAGATAGAATTGAGGGGTTCGGAACGTGCCGGAGAAAAATTACCTGGTTACCGAACGCATGTGGGCATCTATCTAGGGTCCATTAAAGGTCGTAAAGCTTATAAACGTTAAAGGCCACCTCGGAAGCAGTAGGTGTGTGCGAGTGGCTCTTAACGAGCATGCGGGCATCTCGGTGGGAATTTACTCAATTTAGGTGTAATTGTTTAATTAAGATCCTCACCGTCACGCCGCAGTAGGCTGCTCAGCCGTTAAACACAATTCGCATTGTTCTACGGCAATTCGGACGATATCAACTCGTTTCGTAATTACAGTGTCATAGGATTTTTTGGTTTCGGGGAAAAGGGAAATTTTTGATAATACGAAAAATTATCAATGAAAATATCGAGCGCAAAGCGGCGATAGAGAATAAATGGAGTTTTAACGTACGACGAACGAATCGTTAAAAATTTCTTCAGCGACAAATAAAATCGAACGATATTCCAGAAAATTGAAATAAAATTTTATTTGCGCGCGAATAAATATTGACACGCACTCCGCGAAATTATACAAAGGTATTAACGTGATTTTTCTTTATACGAGGACATACGAATATTTTTTCAAAAAAAATTTTTGCATGTTTTAGAAATTCCCAAAAAAATGCATATTCCCAAAGTCCGAGGATACTTTTTATACTTATATCGTACATTGCATCGTATTTACATTATATCGTATATCGGTCACGTGCTCGAGGAACAAATCGAGATTTTGGTAACCGGATAGATCACATTTCTCATGCACCCCTTACCGAAGCCACCCCCTCGCATATCCAGTGATTGAACATTGCATTTTTTTATTTTCAGTCCCACCACGAATGATTTGTGGAAGTCGAGACCAAGAGAAAGTGGTCGTGGAATAAAGTACGAAAGTGCCAAAGAATTTCGAGGGGCAAGAGAAAGAAATAAGGGATGTAAAGAAAAAGAAAGAAAAAAAAAGAAAAAAAGGGAAAAGAAGGAAATGAGCAAGGGTTAGGTGGAAGTAACGGCGACGCCGACGCCGCCGTCGCCATCGACGTCGGATGGGGGAGGAGGGTGGAATTGGTCCAGCAGCCATGAGAGATGTATATGGGGTGAAGACCGCGCCACGTGCCCATCGGCCCTTCAATTCTCTCCTTCCGTCTCTCTCTTTCCTTTCTTTCTCCCCCGTTTCCGTCTCTTCTCATCCTCCCCTCTCCCGCCCCACCCTCGCCCACCGACCCCCATCCCACAGTCATATCCACCGCCATGGCCATGTGAGTTACCTTTACTGCGTTTACTATTCCCTATTGTGTATGACTACGATACGGGATCCTGTCGTGGGGAGGCTGCGAGATCGCATGAGTCATCCGCTCGAGTTCAAGCCATTGGCGTAGGCTCCTTATGCCCCCACGTAGAAAACATCTCCTTGGAACAGGCTTGATATCTATACTCTCTCTCTCTCTCTCTCTCTCTCTCTCTCTCTCTCTCTCTCTCTATACATTTATGATCCTCCGTTCTAACTTTTCTTAAGGGTAGTTAAACCCCCCCGAGGACGGGGGTTCCCGAGAAATTCGAACGTCGGCGCCATCTGCGAGACTTTACCGTAAGCTTCTACGTCAACTGTCTACTTCGCGTTATAGGTATATCTGTATGTATTACTTACGAAAGTAGTAAAGTTTCCCTAAGCCGAATTCACAACGATTGAAAGCACTCTCGATGGGAGTACACTTGTGGAGAAGTGACTGCAGAGCACGACGCGTGACGCACAATCGACGCGTTGATACGACGCCGCACGCTGTTGGAACGACGTTTACTAGGTACGATATTCCGAGAGTTTTAAAAGATTTTCGAAACAGCTCTAGTGGGTCGGCGGCTTTTTTGATTTCAAAAAAAAATTTTGTTTGGTAATTATTTTATATATTTCTTGTAATTCATTCAAGTGTATATATATATAGATTGAGAGTATATTTATGATCATAATTGAAATCGGTATTTTTTTATGTAACGATACACTGTCAGATTTCAAAATTCCCGCCTGTTTCACATTCTAGGTCCTATCTGCGTTTATTTGACTATTCTCAAGGAGCGACAGGATCCATGAGGATCGACGGCGACGTAAATGAGTGACGATAGCTATCCTGCCCGCTTGGAAACTTGGTGAATTACGGGACTATCGGTAAACGAGGAAACGGTGGAATAGAGACTAAAGGGGGTGATGGCTAGAGGGTGGAAATTCCTTTAACGATTTCCCACGCTGGAATCGCATCGTGCCCTATAACCTTCGTCGGCTATAACGACCGGACAGAGACGATCGATCCCAAGAGTTCGCTTCATTGCCTTCCTTTCATCGTTTTATTACCCCTTTCCATTCCCCTCCCCCATATACACCCTCCTTCATCAGGACCCCTCGCCCAGGCTCTAGCGACAAAATTTAAATCGACTCCAGTCAAATTTATTCCATGCTCTCGCTGTTATCGCTCCTCTCGTCTGCCACCTCGATTTTGGATTTTACGATGAAAAGTCAAAAATTCAATTTTTGACCTAATAATTTCAAAAATTTTTTTTTTTTACAAAAATAAATTTTTGACTCGATCAAGGTACGCTTTCTAAGTGGTGAAAGTGCTCGGAGTTCAAAATACCGATTTTTCTACGAAGCTCATGATAATCAAGGGTCCTGGGAATAAGGACAGGGTGAAAGGTACCGCTGGCTACGTCACTGGGCTCGGTCAATGCATCAATCCAAGCTGCATCTGTATGTATTTACGGGACCCCTATATGACATCATCCCTCTCCCGTTGGTCCCGTTCGTTTCGCTGGGTGACTTCTGTCGCCTAACTCCAAACACCCCAACCCCGACTGCCACCTCCCTTTACCTTTAATCTTTATCAATCCATCCAGCCGGGCATCCTCGCCGCCCGTAGAACGAATGGACGGACGCACGAATCGACGCACCGACGCACAGACGGATCGACGGACGGACGCCACCGCGCATTATTCACGGGCGATAGCGTCCCTGCTACCGCGACGGCGACGGCGACGCCAACCTCGACTTATTCCCACCCCCAGTTATACTAGTCCCCTTATACTAGTCCACGTTTTACTCGAGCTACACAGACGCCCCTATTTCTTCAACCACGATTTCGAATCGTCCCTCGACTTATAGTAAATTAAAATTTCACGTTTTATTTTATTTTACATTCAAAATTTTTTAGGAAAAAATTTTTAGGTCAACTTTTTTTATATATGCCAACCGAGGTTACCGAAATGCGCAGAACTTATTCTGTTTGCGTTCCAATGATGCTGCCAACTGACAGGGCACACGGGATTTCAAAAGTAAACGGATTCGTGGACTTTTCTGAAGTTGAAGTTTAATGCCGGCAAGTGCTTCGTGCTGAGGCGTCTTCAAGTTGAGGATTTGCCCAAGCGAAGACACGAAGTTACGGAAGAATGTCCGGAGTTACTTTACGCAGAATTTAACGGTTATTGAGACACAGTGCGCATGCGCGGATATCATATGATTTACGAACGCTTTGTTTTATAGTCTTGTTAGGTATACCTGAAGCCTGAGAAACCGTAACACGTGTTATGGCTCATAACCATAGTTACATTTTGTTCAGTGCTACCATTTTCAGTTCTGCTTCAACCCCTCTGCAACTTTGTTGCTATTAACGACCGTTTGTGCCAGTGGATCCCTTGGGATTTGCAATACGACTTTTCCCATTGTTATTCTGCCATCTGTCTGTCCTTGCGACTTTAATCGTTATATCGTTACACAAAAAATGTCCAATGCTCCCTTGTCACCTGTACAGCGCGTATCAAAAAATGTATCAAAAATTGTACAAAATTTAAAAGTCTATCGAATTAACTTTTTATTGTAATATAACGTAGAGAATATTTTAATAGACGTAAAAATAATGCTTTTTTTTTTCATAAATATATTATTATCTAATTGTATTGTATTGTGGTATCTATGCGTTGCTTAGGCAATACTTTGTTCCATTAAAGTTTCGTGCTACAGACCCAAGTAGAAGGTCAATGCTGATTCCAGTTGATATTTATCATAAGTCCAACATGATTAGTTCCCAGTACCCTGAAGTTTCTGAGTAGCTCGCAGCAGCGCAACCGTACAAAAAATGAAAGATTCCAGTAGCATCTTATACGGACCTACTCTTACCCAGTCCACGTTCTCAACACAGTAGGTATAATAATATTTAAATGTTGAGTAAGAAGGGAATTAAAAAAATAGTCTCGTTACCTAGCTTTAGGTTATCCAAAATTAATTGTCGACCATTTAAAAGAAAATGTTGATAAGTTCCTTCAGAGCGATCCATAGTTAAAATTTTCAACTGAATGATCTGCCATCTGGCGGCTAAAGCGGAATGACAGTCACTGGCTAAGCGACCACGTAATATAGGGCTGGACAATTTCTAGGTTTAATTTGCTTGAGCCCATAGGGTGCCAGTACTCCTAAAAGGATAGATGGTGGTAGGTAATCTAGGACGGTCCGATGACGTAGCGCACACACCTGAGGCGTGGGTGTAGAAGGTTGTAGGTAGCCAAGCAGTAAGGTTAGGCAGGCAGACAGGTGGGAGGAGCCAGAACTGTTGGCTACCTCTACCGACGCCACACCTACTATTGATCATTCTCCATTATTTCCTTACCTGGGTTGTTGATTAAACGCAACTTCCAAGACAGTGAAACCTTTTTGGCCTGTTCCACCTCCTTGTCAACCTGCCGCACCCACTTGGACCGGGTCCTCCTCCGTGAGGTTGCCCGGCATGTCGCTGGTCTATGGGGAATCGTTCCTAGAAATGGACGGACGAAATGGATAATTTCATATTCGTGAGCATAAATGCGAAGTTTCAGGTTATCCTAAGAGTGTATTACATTTTTATTGAGTTATACCGCGTTACTTTCTTTCGACATAGTCGAATATTTGACTATTTATACTCTGTTTTGTTAATTAATGCCTATATAATATATACTTATAAACGTCAAATCATACAGTATAGTCCACTCATTCTCTTTTCTTTGAAAAGTCTTTAGGTTTCAAGTCAAAGTAATAAATAAAGCTTCCTTACGTGAGTGTACTCGGCACGATTTTCTTGCTTGATATAATAGTAAAGGGGCTGCTTGAGTCTGTCGAGCGTCCTGTTTCTTGGCTTTACTCGTATAATAAGCGTCTAGGATAGAAAAAAAGAGAAGAGGAAAAAAAAAGAAGTAAAAACGATCCGAGTGCCATCGGTCGTGACTAACTAGAATTACTCTTACTGGGCTCTCGTATCGTCCTACAATGTTTGTCGAATTTTCGCAGAGTATCCGATTCTCATCTCGCGATAAGGCAAACGAGTCCAGTTCGATTAGTTCGAACCGCCTCCTGACATTTCTGCTGCTTTCGCCGTCCGAAAGTAACGAACACAAATGCGATCAGATAAATTTGGAATGCTGCGATAAGTCACGTCGTACCGAACCCCAAAAGTACATACAGGTTAGTCACAGGTCATCGTGGAAACGATTTCTAACCTGATTGTTACACCTTCAACCTCAGCTTCTCGCGTAGGTATCGATTGCGCGGCACTGTGCTTACAGAAATTCCTAAACGAATTCTTGGTAAGGAGTGACGTAACGTTTTCCTCGATCAGAATAATATCGGACTACGTACGAGCGTTGAGTGAAGCTACCGTTTAATCGAGCGGCATGGACTTTGAGACTTGAGAATTGGGACTCGCGAGCACCGTTAATAAACAAATACAATCCAATTGCCGGATCTTTTATTCGAGCTTGTCTGACGCATTGTCTATAATTAAGTGGCGAATCTTATCTGGTAGCTTATGTGCCAATCCACGTTCCCACGGATGTAATACACGTATATATATCGTTCTCGTTCAACTTGTTACTCCACTGCTCTACTTGAAAATGATCAAGTACTAGACGAAGACGGATCCTCGTCGCGTGTTCCTTTTTTATTTTGTTTTGCCTCGCACTACCGCTTGTTTTACGCGTGTTGACGACGCCAGGCCGATACGACGAACACGGTGGACAGCCAAGAGCTTCACTCGAATTTCTACTTGTGGTAGTAATGGGGCGACCGTTACATTCTTGCGTAGACTTTATGCGTTATAATGCTAGTTTTCTTCTTTACCGACCGCCGCATTTCCTCTCGGCTCAGTTGAGTGAAGTTCGAACGCAATATGAGTTTACTTGTGTCGGTACTTTATTGTATGAGAAATAAATTGTTATTTAATACAGGTCTTACGTAATACGTGACTAAAGCACGAGGAATCGTGGCAAATAAACGCGGTGTATAATACAAATTTTCAAATTGTATAAGCATTACGGTGAGAGTTATCATTGAAGCAAAATTTTAAGATAAAACAGAGTAGTGCGACTGATCTTTCTCATAAGGTTTGTTCCACCTTACCTTTCATTGGTATGAAGAGAATTAGTAAGTGATGCTTAGGATTATTAAAAGTAAAATACAAAATGTAAAGCAAATAGTAGCCACGATAACTGAAACTTTCATACGCCACTTTTATTCCTTAGCAATCTATATTTAGAGGCATGCAATAAAATTCTTACGTAACCAGAAGATGTATTCATGCAGCAGAAACATTTTAACCATAACCACGTGAACCTTGTTCATTGCCCTTTACTTCAAACGGGGAAGCACGTATGCAATGCGAATGACTGACATAGAATTTGGCAAGTAAAATAAACGAGAATAAATTTTCTCGCAGGTATTTCCCAGCCCGAATGAACGTAAAAATATTTTCAAAATATTCAAAGGACAAAATTGATTTTCAATTTACAACGGAAATTTCTTGATTAATGCCACTATAACGACCTTAAGGTACCAATTAAAAGTCCTCATCATCGTCAGACAATATATTATCGACCAATTAAACGAGTTATTTCCATAATACCGGTATAGCAAAATCTTACTTCTCGATCTCTGTAATTTGGGTTATATCGATCGGCAGTACCAAGTATCGATAGATCGATCGTTCCGCTGACAGTGATTCTCATTAATCCTTATATTTTATCGGCTTTTCAAACGACTGATAACGGGTTTACCTGTACAAGCATTATAGCTGAGTTTCTAGGAAGTGAACACAAGGGTTGGTCGTTCGAGGCCGACGTAGCAATCGATGGCGACGGCGCAGGACTCCATCGACGACGACGAACGCCGCCAAGTACGTCGACAACGTCGACGAGAGGTTCGCGCGCCAAGCGACTCTTCAGTATGACGAGCGACTGCCGCGGCTTTGGAACTCACGTATATTTAACGTTGCACTGAGATTTTCATCGCGAGCGTGAGAACTGAGCACGTCAGACGACAATCTACCGACGAAAAAGTGAACAAGAACGATTTTCAAAGGTAGGTCATGCGAGAACAAATTTATTATATTCAATGACTTTTCTTATTCGATTCGTTTCACTGAAGTTAACGAATTTTTGTGATCCTGTACCACTACCTGATAAGAATGTAGGTCCGCTGTCATTAAAAGATAAAACCGATCTTTCATTTGATATTCAAGATAAATATTTATCCAGATATTTTACTTGATGAAATATCCTTTCTGATTTGCATTTCGAAAGTAGAGATATGCAGCTATTATTTTTTTTATTTATTTCGGGATCTCTAAGGATACTCTTGCCTTTGATTTGCTAAGGATTGTGATTCATTTTTCTCAATATGTCCGCAGACATATATTTGTGTGTTATGACTACTGTTGGAAAAGGTTTCTAAAGGAATTCTATGGCCTACGGGGGGGATCGCTCAGGTACTATTCTAGTCTTACGGATGTACGGCAACGAAAAACAGTTCGAAAATTATTGTAGGATAATTTTTTTTCGTACGCGTTGTCTTATTTTAATATCAATCTTGAACACCTTTTAGTCTACGTTGCCAAGTATTTTTTCTGGGACACTTGGTTCTTTCTTAAGAAAATCATCCATCCCAGTCGTATTGTCGGTGTTTCTTTCGTGAAGAAAAAAAAAGTTGAATCTCTCCTGTTAGTGGGTATATATTGTCTTCCGCAAAGAGTAATGGATTCCATGCATTCACAAAAAAAAATGAAGTTTATTCTTGTAAAGCGAATTTGCATTAGGAATGCGCTGCCGGGAAATAATGTCGCTTTATGTATTTCTGCAGTGATTTAAATTGGCAACAGTCGATTGAAGATCGATCGAAGGCAAATAACCATGTTGAATAAGCATATCGGTGAGAATTTTTGTTTGTCTTTTTCAATTCGTTATCAGAGGGACACTCTATCCGTATTGGAATTACGAAGAAACAAGATTACCAAGCAGACACAACAGGATCAATTTTCGTCTGGTGAGTTTTCCGTGAAATTTCTTTAATAATCCGAATTCCAGAAAAAAAGCTGCATTAAAATATTCAATGTCTCGTACACGTTGTCAGAAATGAAAAGTTTTCCAACGGAAAACTTTTGACCCCTCTTATACTTTTTTTACTCCGAGTATCGTCACTCCTCGACCCACGACTTAAGGCGGGTTTTTCTAATGAGTTTACGGCACGAATTGAATATTCAACCCTTTTGAGGCTTCTAATCGGATTTACGTAAGATTGCATCAAAGGTCGTAGGTCAAGGTACGCGAGCATCGTTACATGAACAAAAATACAGACACTGAAAACTCTTTTTTATATATTACACAAAAAAAGCATACCTCATTCACAGAACTTACTGTCATTTGTAAAGCTTTGAGAAATCAGCTGTTTGAATTGTCGACTGTTGGAATAACGTGGGTTTCCTGCTGGGTTACTGAATGCCGTTTCAAATGACAGCACGTAGTGCATAGAATTGCCGTGGTATTACTGTAGTGGCGCATGTAACGTTCCGTCGACATCAATTATCCGTGTGGTTCGTGGCCGAAAGCCGGTGACTGAGAAATCGTCATAGTACATGTAAATTGTAGTTGTTATAATAAACTTGAAGTAAAACAATAAATTGTACAGTTCTTTACTACTTATAAACATCCAAGGGTATCGACTGCATTTATTTTCAATGAGACAAATTCAATTTTTCAAACGCTCTGTATGCCGTCTTTTGACTACCGTATTGACTCGGCTGCGGTCCAATGGCATTCTTTGTTACACAGAGTGACTGAATAGGATGGTTGGCGCTGGCGTCGACGACTCATATTTCTAGTGCAAGAAACTCTGAAATGTCATACAAAAGTATTGCCAGTTTACACGCGAGTGATCGTTACCTCGAATTTCAAAGGTTCAGGAGTCAATTCGAATCTTGGCAATAGGTAGTCAGCAGGTCATGAACGATCGGAATCCACGATTTCAGTTATTTCCGGACACGGGATATCGACAAGGAATCCCGATGACAGACTTCGATTACAGGCTTAAGCATTTTTACGGACCCTCCTCGAGTAAGTAAACGACACGTAAAAATTCTCTCAGAGGCTCGCGAACAAGCTTGGCTTTAGAAAATACAAAAGTAACTCCAAATCACCGTCATGACCAAGAGACAATTTTTATAAAGTTTAACGCGGTTCTTAGACACTGCAATTTTATTGATTGATCATTCGACTTAAAGTAAGTCGTAAAAAAATATTTTAATTTGTTAAAAGAAACTTAAAAAAATTCTAACCATCCAACTCTTCATTTTTGGCTGGCGCTAGTCAATTCAATTGAACGTAGAACTAGAACTGTCTGATGTCTTATCAATAGATGCGCTGAATGCTGTACACGATAGAACATCATGCCAAAGCGTAGTTGATTATTGATCGAGTTTTCTGCCTTGGGACGCGTAGAAGGCGTAAGTGTATTTGACAGAGAACGAACATACGTGTCTGTAGAGGAGTCCGACCCGTAAGGATGAAATTTACCGTCGCTGTATCTCCATAGCCATCTTCTACACTTTACAGCTCCTTTGCCGAAGAACCTTTTACTCTTCGGAAGAAGAATAATCCGATGGCACAAGTTTCTTACCCTTGCGGGAGCATCGATCCTCTTCGAATTTCATTCAATCCCTGTCGCACTTGAATCTGTTGAATATCGAGAAACGAAAATTCGCGACTATGGAAAAATATTTTGTTAAGGTAAATAGAAAACCTTTTTTTCAAACTTTAATCATTTACCTTTCTTTCTTATTTTTTCTTTATGAAAATTTAGACGTGACTTTCTGAATTTGAAACTTGTATGACGATTCAATGGATTCACGTAACGCAGTCGTCGCGTGTCCTTGTACAGTCCAACACAAACATATAATAGAGAGAAATGAGCTTTGCAGTCAAAACTCACTTAGATTTCCAGTTAAACGCGATAACAGATTTGAGGTTAGGCCGAATCATTAAGCCGGCGACAAATGTTGAATGCCGGCGCGTTTAACGTGTAATTGACTTTCGTCAAGGTTTATGATTCACAAGTAAATTCACTGCCAGACACGACGCACGTGCTTATGGAACCACGAAGGACGTACAAAGCGTCTCGTTCGAAGGATCTTCACAGCGAAAAGTCATTAGCTCTCGGAATCCCTGCTAATAGACAAATTTCACGTGTTCCATATTTCCAAGCATCAAGGATCAAAGTACCAGTGTGTACTAGATACAATATTCGAATTTCCAAAATACAGTTTACATTCATCGTATACATATATTTTTTAAGGACAGTCCTCAGGACTCTCTTGAGTATCGGCAGTTACGAGGACACTCGGTGTTTGTCAAGCCCTATGACATCTACGTAACGTATACCCTAAAGACCATAAAGCTGCACTCACACCGAATTTTCAAAAAAAAAAAAAATGTCACTCTAGGTTATCCTTATGTCAGATCAGCTCAGAACACCAATGCCACGTGTCTCACGGTTTACTTCTTTTGCACGTGGAATCCCGTACGTCCTCATAACTGCCCTTTGACAAGTTTATATGCACACACGCGGATATATTGACCGTGTATATCACCATCCAGATAGTGCTGGTTCGACAGGTAATTACGTACGTCATTTAGCTGATACTCGGGCTGCGGGAATTTCCTCGCATGCAACCCACGGTAATTCGAGAATCTATTTACTCCTCGGGTTCGCTACTGAAAATCGAGACGGTTTGGTTAATTACGAAACAGACGGTAATCCGACGGACCGACGTGGAAATTCATTTATCTGTGTGTTTCCGCTATCATAGTTACGTGCATTGAGAATTAATTCACGTTCAAGCAGCTACGAGATATTTTTACGAAATACAATTTACGAAAAACGGGCTGGCCGAAATTGGCCGTGAAAAAAGAAAATTCAAATGCATAAGAGAAACAGCGTTAAATTCACCTACGTCACGGTTAAACGCATTACAAGCCGCGACTGTAGATTACAGGAGGAACTTGAAGCAGGTGACGTAACGAGACTATAGGATTTACGTCGTATTGCTTCCTCTATTCGGAATGCCATTAGCCCAGACCGTAAATGGCTGCTCGATTATCGATTAATTTTCAAGAATGCCACTGGAAATTCGCATCTCCATTGTCTTTTCGGTATAGTTATTCAAATTGGATTATAAAGACGCCCGTTCGTGCGTCCTTTGTTGCATTGCGAGTGGGAATGATATATTTCAAGTAATGTCCTTTGCAGCTGCTACGTAATACGTAGTACCTACGTAGCGCCTTTACTCGGAACGTATACGCATGCATCTGCGGTATGCGGCCCGGTGCATTGCGCAATACCATCACCATATCAGCTTTATCGCTGTTCTTCGTGGAACACAGACTCCTACAACTTCGGGTTATTACGGTAACACGTGCTAAAGTTTAGCGTCCTGAGTTCATGTCTCATTGGTACCTTCAAAATTATATTTTCACATATACATATATGTATACCGTGTTTTTAGCACCGTGCAAGAATATCTGATTTATTATTTTATGACTTGAAAATATATTTTTTTTTAATTTCCTAATTTCATTTAAAAATTAACAATTTCTTTGTATATATATATATATATATATTCGAGATTATATATATATATATATATATAGGTATATACAGATATAATAGAAGTTGGTATTAAACTTAGTAAGAGTCTCATGTCTAATGAGCGAAATTAAATATTTTACGATTCGGATCCAATAGACACGTAAGAACAACGTGGCACGTAAAACCTCAGTCGTAATTTCAAGCACTTTATATGCTTTACTAGAGCGTTTTGAACGTCGTACAGAAGGAAGGAGACTATTGCGCATTTAATAGCTCAAAATGAAAAGTCTGTTGAAGTATCAAGTGAGGCGGTAGAGTTTCGCGCAAAGTATATTGCAACTGGGTGTTTAATTGTCGATTGTAAAAAAAAATAAAATTTCTTAGAGGTCTGAAAAAATAAATCATCCTGACAAAGAGCGAATCGCACGTGGAGAAAAAAAGGTAACATAAGTAACGTAGAAAATCGAGCTTTTCGAATTCGATTTTAAGCCCGATTTTAATGGACAGATTTTGCGCTAACGGACCAAATTTTTTTATGTGGCAAATTGTTGCTCGAAATTCTATTCAGACAAATATATTTGACAGCACTCTGGCGCCTATTGGTTTTTTATTTTTGACAAATACTTCTAGTTCCAAAAGCGACAACGAGGTCGCCCTCTGTCGGATCGAAAATTCGTATGAGTTTTGTAAAACCAGATTTATCGTCAAAATGAGGAAATCACATTTTGAGATATAATTTTTCGGATATCGAAGTCTTTATATCTCAAAAGAAACCAAGTGTCGAATGGACAGTCGACCGATTGGAAAAACGTCACATCAATTTCGTTTACTGGGATACTCACGAACGAAATATATACGACCTAGGTATTTATTGATTTCGATTTTTTTTTTTTTTTTTTTTTGGAAAAAAATAATTAAAATCCCCGATGAGTCCGTTAAGTAGGATTTTCATTATGCTACATTCCCACGAACTTGATCCATACGCAAAATTAATTTTTTTCATATTTTTATCTAGACATGATATATATATATATATATATATGTATAGTCTGTATATTTTGACTCGGATAACAATTGATAATCTTAGAGCTGTCTACAATAAGAGATGCCATGGCCCTTATAAAGCGGGAACAAAATTTCTATCCAATATCAAATCGAAATCAATACGACATTGGTTCCAATTTCGGATCGTGTAAAACAGGCTTTAGACAGTTTTCAACGAAAGTTAAATACGCGATCTGAAAGTAAATAAGAAAAAGAGTAAATCAGAGAGAGAGAGAGAGGGTAATGAGGAACGATAAATTCCGAAAAAATTTTTACCCAGCATCAATGACGTCATTCATCTCCGTTATAAAACGGATTCCCTGAAATTTTTCTTATCCCCCCCCGAAATTACGCAATTCGGTAGGACAAGGACACGCAGGAGCCTCGAAGATACGAAGCCTGTTTCATGAACGTGGCAATCGCAGTGCTTGCGGAGTTACTCGAAGATTAACCTGGGCGCCGGTAATTATAGTCGAGGGAGCAAAGTTCTACACGCTTAACCAGGCGAGGCCGAGTAAATCTGAGATTCGAGGCACCGATAGACCGTGAGGTAAAATGTAAATTTTCCCAACCCCGCGAAAGATCCTGCCGGTCCGATTAAGAAGGAGAATTGGAATCTGGATTCCTCAGGAATTTAATAACACGAGGATACAGGGAAGTGTATAAAGTTGTTTCTGCATCTGTCAAATTAATTGCACATTGTCAAGTGTAATTGGGCTAATGTTAATTTACATTTTATCGTACTGTTATCCGGTAATCACGATACCGTTCGAACGATACTCGAATTACGGGGATCGATGAGGGTAGAAGAAGAAAAAAAAATATATTACCTATCGCTGCATTATTTTTTTGGATTTTCAAAAAAATAATCCGACACGGCCCGAAACATCAGCGAAACCAGATTACTTCCACGCGTTTCCAATTTCGCCTAAGGATAATTATTTTGGGACTGAACTACCCACGTGGCAGCACCGTGACGGTCTACGCTAACGTAATTTACGTTTTGATTATTTACACTGGTTAATCAAAATTTTCAAGCGACGCATGCGTCGCAGGTATCCGAAGCTTTTTCGTATCGTGCTTGCGGCTTGATTCGGAAATGAGCTTTGAAGACCCTCAAGTTATTCCTACGCGTATCAGGGCGAACGCTGCTGCGTTCAAAAGTCTTTAACACTAAACCTACCATCGACGGGTCATTTGGACCTTTTAAAACCAAAAATATTTTTAAAAAAATTTTTGATAATTTTAGCGTTAAGCCTATTTAACCGATCCGCCTGTCTGCTTCGTGTACGAGGGCTGAACATTTTTTAGGATTCTACGGAGAAACACCAAGGAATTTCTGAGGGAGTCGAAGGATTTTTTTTTTTGAAAATTTCACTAAGGATATTAAAGAATCCAGGGATGAGATACGGTCCTTTGACTTTGAGTAGGACCCGGTGCCTGGTACGGGGCGGTTCGATCTCTAGAAAAATTTTCAAGATAACCCGGGGTCATGGGTCAGAGACGACAGGCTGATTTGGAGCTTAGTAAAATTTTAATAATATAAATTCATTGTACGGTTCTCGAGATGAAAATGAAAAATTATTTTCCTATTTTGAACTCGCGCACGACTCGTTAATTCTTGGATTGAATTTATGGCTCTTTAGAAAAATCAGTGGACGATTCAAAGCGCTGAAAAAAAAATTATAAGACTCTATATCTGTCTTCGGCGAGATGTTCCCTCGCGCGTGAATGAATATAGGGAGATACTGTATTTGGGAATTGTAAATCTCAATGGCGCCTCTATAAATCCTTTGGGCTGTGGCAATTACATCGAGGTCGATAAAGTAGGTATCCCACTGTGGGTATAGGCAGATCTACAGGTCGAATTACACGCGGTGGATTAAATATTAGACTTTTCGATCGCAACGTGTAAATATCTTTGCGAGATTTATTTATCAAATTTTTTATATACCTCGACCCTTTTATCTCGTTCTTCGATTCGATTACGTAAGACAATTTATTGGTTATCGATACGTTTCAATACTGCTATCGGTAGACTCTGAGCTCTTCCGTGCGTACCGGGTACCCCGTAGGTAAGAAGTGCCTTCTTAGCTGTGCCGTAATCGTTTTAAGGTTTTTCTTTCTAGGCAAAGCATATTTGCTTCAACCGCGATCGACGAATAATTATTCTCCGATCGATAATCCATTGTCAAGAAGTGCGATTAAACACACCGGGTCTGTATTACCGTTTACTATTTATTCGAATAATGAATTCACGTCATGGTCCTTGCATAAAAATATTTTCAATTTTTTCAACACCCTGTGAATAATACACCTTGATATTTCTATAATTACAATACCCCTTGATAATCATTACAATTACAATGAAACAGCGAAATCAATGTTTCATTTAAATATATCCTGAGCAAATATATCGTCATATCGTCTCCAGAACTCTCTTCGACCCTCAAAATATATTTTTCACATAATACACATTCTTCGAATGCTTCGAATGATTTTATGTTTCAGTCAATCTGATATCCAGTCTTTTCTCGATGACTTTGCGAACGCGCAATCCCGTAACTCGTATTTAAGGGACAGCGCATCTTTGCTCCAAGCTCTTTACTGTGCAATTGGACTGGATTTGTGAATCGACGCCCAGTATAAAAATATTTTATTATTGTCATCACAGTTTGGCAATTTTTTTTTTTAAGCTGGTACTTGCCATTGCGTCATTTTCTCAAGTCTCAAAATCAATCTACGAGCAACGTACGTCCCGTCGTAATTCGCAGCACGAATAACGGACCGAGCTTACCACTTGAACTTTATAATGGCGTAGAGCTATATACACGTCGACCGGGATCTTCCTCGAGGAGGATGTGCTTGTCGTGGTCATCGAGTGTGGTGTGCGATAAATTCAACCCCCTCTCAGGGTACCGAAATAACTCGGGTCTCGCGAACAATTTGCACGGACCGATCCGACCCTGGGAATTTCTATCGGTCTTCCGCAGCGCCACGGGTAAAATCAGTTATAAGAGAGAGCATTGAAAAAGAAAAGAATTGAAAGCCGAAATTGGTTTTCGATCGATTAAATAATCCTTCGGTAACGCGACTACGAGGCTCCTAATGGATTTTCGATGCTGGAGATCGATTTTTGAAATTAATTCAAATCACGCGAATTCATGAAAATCTTCGACTGGCTGGAATACGCGATTGAAGGAAATTATTATTCATAGTCACCGAGTAAAATGTACGAGGGGTCATCTTTCTGTGGGTTTACCCACTAAAGAGTCACCTCAATTTTATTCCGGGCAGACTAATTGTTTGTACCTGGTATACGGTTACTGGCACGCCGAGTCACTGGGGAAAGAGATGATTATCGGCTTCCTTTTGCTCTCGTGACTTTAGTGGCTACGCTGCACTCCCGTCCGACATCCGAATCCTCTGCAGCAATGTAATCCCTCGTTACTTTCTTCGAGAAAGTGGATTTCTCATCCGATAGCCAAATACTTTACTGGGATACTAAGGTCTCAAGCAGTCGTTTCATGGAAACGGAAATTTTCAACATAAATTTCAACGATCCATAACCTCAATTTTAACCGCGTCGATTTTGAGAATTTTTACTATCGGACGTATTATTGAATACGGACGATATTAGTGGATTTTATTGAATGGGCCACAAGTTTGAATTAATAATAAAGTGATAAATGTATTTTGTCCATTTTTCGTTTATAATAGATTTTTTGGCAAAATTTTTCATTCTAAAATAAATAATACTTGTCGTTCCAGTGACGTTTCGGCAGTTCACGGAAAAGCATAGGAGACATTTAAATCTTTATTGGTTTCAAGCACAACACTTACGTACTGTCGTATAATACGGAATGACTGGCATTAAAGGGCATTACGTGTCCCCATTGAAGATCAACGTTTGTCAATGGTGTATTGCAATTGTCTTCTTTCTATCTTTTCAGTAGAAGGGACAATTCTTGGTCGGATCGATCTACGGCAGGATGCGTTCGGGCGGAATTGCAACTGTGGCGGCCATTAGCCTCTTTCTGGCTGCTTCCAAGAGCTTCGTAGATCCGGCTCCATTGAGTTCCCAAGGTACTTTTACAACAATATCTTTTTTTATATTGAAATTATTTTATTCGCTTTCGAAGATTAAAGGTCGACAATGATAAATGCTCGTAGATTAGTTTTAAGAATTTGCATAAGAAACATGCTCGAAAATTTATGGTTTTCAAGAATTCGGTTATAAAGTCGTAACATAATTTCAATATATTTTTCGTATTTATTTTATTATCAATCTAATCAGTATTACTTTTTTTTAATTAACTATATATATATATATATATATATATATATATATATATATCATGATTCTAGCTGAATGTTATTTGACGTATAGAACTATTTTGAGATTTTGAGATTTTTATTTCGACCCTTTCTTCGCATTACATGCACGTGTTACGGTGTCGGTTCAAGCTGCTGTTGCAATTACCTATGGGAACCTGGCACCCGACTTAAAAATATTTTTATTTTCAAAACGCGATTCGATTGTACCCCGTTTATACCACTTTTCATTTCGTTTGTAACGGAGATACAGGATATTTTCAAAATTCGCCAATTCGTCATTTTTTGAGCTAGCTTAAATCTGCAAACGGGAGCTTATTCAGAATTCGTCCAATTCATTTTTCAGTATAGCCTTCGTATTAATTTTTTTTCTAGGCCAAGGAATAATTAATAATATTTAAAGTAAGAATTCTTAGTGTCGGGTAAATTTTCGAATACTGAAATAGAAAGTGTTCGCGCAACTGAAGCGATCCAATTTTGGAGCTTTTTTTTGGAAAATCAATTGTCATCCAATTTAAAAATAAAATCCCTTTAAACGCGCTTCACTACCCAATTTTGAAAACTGCCGTATGTGTTTGGGGCGAGATTGGAATAAATTGAAAATTTAGCAATGCTACTTAGAATAGAGAGTTATAATTGATTACAAATTGCCGAAAAAGAATTTCAAATTTTTTAATTCCCCCGTTGTTTACACTCAGACAAAAATTTACGGTTATCAATAATCGTAGTTATAAATATATATATTTTGCAAAACTTTTTTTCAAGTTATGCAACACCCGATGCGACATTATTTGCATCAAATCCTTCTGACACGATGAGACGCGGTGCTAATAAATATATTATCCAGATTTCAGTACCGACTGAGAAATTGCCGCAAAATAGGATTTCAATAACTTCCTTCAGTCGATCGATAACGAACCATTTCGCAACTCGTGCTAAATTACTTCCGGACCTGGAAAACGACTGGGATTTTCACGAGAAATCATATTTAGTGTGGTGGCAGGACTGATGGATTTTTCATTGCGACGAACCCGAGTATTTTCGAGGAAGTTGGACAATTTTCCAAAATTTCAATCAAACATATACGTATATAGTAACGTTCGCACGGGTACAGCTCGAATCCATTTCTTTTTCGTGAGTCAAATTTGAAATCGCGATAAAATTTTTGAAAAAATATTAAACTTAAAAAAAATTTTCATTTCACAATTACATCCTCATTCAGTCCCCATAGAGGTCCATAAAAATATCTAATACACAAATTTCAAATACGTTATAAAATTAATTTAAAAAATCCATTACATCCAGATTCCACGTCGTTACTCGCTACCGTAGAAACTTCGTTTGGAAAAATTTTCGGAAATCCTGTGGAAATTCCAAAAAAAATTTTTACCGTATCGCACATTTCACGTTTCTACGTCATCGGTACAAATACTTGAAAAACAGTCTCGTACGATCAAATCCATTGGATTGATAAGCGACTCCAACACATTGGGTTTATCGAAATAGTCCCCGTATGTCTGATCGTTCATGATAACCTAACCTCATGGACAAGGTTACGTATCTGAAATTTGTTCACCCAAAGACGAAAAAAATATTCGGACCTCCCGAGATTTCGTAATCTTTTTGGGAAAAAAGTTCGTACCCATCAATTTTATTCAGCCACTTTCCTCCCTAATCAGTTTCCAACCTCGAATCGTACAAAATCGAAGGGTCGATAACGTCCGATATCTATCCCGTAGGGGAAGAACGTTACATCGCTGCTGGTTTCATTATTTCTACACACGTCACGATTCCACTTAAAATTCTATGTCTTCGGCGTTGGATCGGTAGCGTCCTTCTTCTATTACGTAAATTACGTAAACAGGGAAAATTGCCGGGATACCGTGAGAGAGGTCGGCGGAGGAATGAAATTTCGTGAATTTTTCAATTTTACCAAATGGACCGACGTCATTTCGACGATAAGACGGCGATTGTACATTCGTGCGGAATAATGCTTGAAATAAATTTTTAAGACGATTATTTTGACTTGGGACATAATTTTTTTTTTTTTTCAAAATATCATCTTAAACTCTTACTCGTTGTACTTTATGCTAGAAAGTCAAAGTGTATGTATATTTGTCGTTTGTTTTTACTAGAGTGCTCTTTAAACCATGTTCTATATACAGTCGAGGTAAAAGGGGCCCGCCAGTGTGTTTGAACAAAGTTTCAAACACCGAGAGCTGCCGAGCAAGTTGAGAACCCGTAACGTCGTTATCGGACAAAATGCATCATCAGTCGCGGTATAGAAGTACACACCCCGAGGAGCATGCGACTGGGGTTATAGCAGCGCTCTCGTGTATTATGGAAAATTATATTGTAAAAAACAGATTCTTTCCAAACGAACAAGCCGAGTTAAGGGCCAATTTGTCACGAATCCTCTCATCCACTATTACGATAGACAGAGAATTCGAACGATCAATTTGGCCTCTTCTTCCGATTCCAGACGTCTCGCTGCCATCCTTCTTGTTCTTATTACCCTCAACCAGAAAAGAACGACGCGGACTCTCGGCGATTGAGAAAAAAAAAATAGTCGGATCAAAAATAATATATTTATAAAAATATCGTGTGACCTAACAATTTTCAAATTCAATTTCGCTTTACGTAAATTTTGATTAAAACTCTCTGGATAGAAATTTTCGAAATTCATCATCCCTTCATCGAGTCGTGCCTTAAATTTCGAAATTTTCGATAAGGTGCTAAATAACATTTTTTTTCAAAATATATCTTATACAAATATTTCTTTGTATATCATTTTCATTATCTTGCAAGAAAGCTCGTGTCGCAGTGTGACGTAGGTCAACTGTCAGTGTGAAAGTCAAAATGAAAAAAAAAAAAATCTACTTGCACGTAATACATTTCTGCGAAAGGTCGCCCCCCCCCTTTTTTTTTGCAAATTTATTTCGGTCATGGGACTCTCCAGGAAATAATGTTTGGCACGCTCCCATTGAGCCGACTTGCACAAAAGGATGTTCCGGATCCCGACGGATGTTACGCTGTCGGACAAAGGCTCCAGCTTCCAAGTATCTGCTTATCAGGAGTGTTTGTTCTTTGGACAGTCATTTTTCCTTTCTCCTTGGCGGTTACAGTGCACTTAAAGGAGGCCCTTTGTTTAGGCAGGACGGGGTTGATGTCCCTCATTCATTTTGATAATCCCAAATGAACTTCAATCTCGCGTGACAATTTTTGGAAAAAATTAATTCAGATCCAAATCGATGCCTTGCACCAAGAGCACGGAAATTCCCTGAGCCAATTACTGACAAAGTACACCCTTTACGAGTCAATGTTCGAAATTTTTGATAATTTCATTATTTTTCGAAAAATCAAACCAACGCAAAAACAGCCATATGATGCCTAACCGACCGCATTGAAAATCAAATCCAAATAATAAATTTTGAAAAGCCCGCTCTTCAATCGACCGTCCACGCTTTGGAATTCATTATTAAACATGGATTTGGTGCGTTACTTCATTTACTTTGAACATATACCCAGTGTCCATAATTAAACCAACGAAATCCTGCGTGAAGGCAAAGGGTAGCTCCGAGTGCTTTTAGTTTCTAAGCATGAGCCCTTTATCCACACCCTAGATCCACCCAAGTGTAACTCCTGAGCAAGTTATCGTTTACTTTTAAACTTTTTTTTTTTTCCCCGGTCTACGAGACTTTCCCCGTAATTTCCTACTTGTTACGTCATATCGAGCATACCGGCTTCACAATTTTCTTTTTTGTCAATGAACGTCGGATAAATTTTTTTTTTCTCATTATGCTTCATTCCAATGCCATTTTCCAGCGCTATCAATATTGTTTTTATCGACTGACGAGAGTTCTGTAAGTTGCATCGCTTCGCAGCATCCGAGTCGACATCAATTTTAATTACTTACTATTTCGAATCGCGTCAGAGTCCCGTGCTTAAAACGTGCTTTGATTCTGCAAACTCTCAGAATCGATTCGTCGCATTTACTGGGACTCCGACTCCGCGCGGGTTAACTTTAGACTGGCCAAGTCCACAGGAAATAATTCCGCACGGTCAACTCGTCTACAATTGATACGCGTAGAGCTTGGTCCTACGCTTTACCCGATTAGGCAAAATTATATTGGATCTCATTCGATTGAAGTTAATCGATCATTCACGGACACGCCCGTGTGTACAGTGTAATGTCTGGCTTCGGTCACTTCGGCTCCAAACAGGAAACCCAGACGCTCTTGAAATATTGACAGCATCTAAATATTTATATACGGTGGACAAACTCGGAAATGATCAAATAAAAACATACCTATGATATCGACTAAATCCACTGTCAGGTGTCAACCTCCAAGTTACAGTATCATTATGTCCGATACGACACTAAAGAAAAAGGGTCAGACCCATCGATTCCGATCGACTCTGACGTTCGATGTAAAAAAAAATGGGTCAGTCGAAAAAAATTGTCCGATAAAAATTTTTTCGAAATTTAATTACTGAAAATTCGATATTCGTCGACAACAATGGTTCACGTGATTTGGGTTTCCTTTGTAAAGCTGCTTCCGTCGTTTACGCCTATTATCGTTACAATGTCGTATATCCAGATATTATAATGGGACAATTTTTTTATTTCCACGCATAACTCACAGGTACCATGAAATTCTTATTCCCACCCGATATATCACCTCGCGCAACCTCTCTCACGTCCCATTATCTATGTCGAAGGATGAATCCTGAATTGCGCAATTGTGTTTGCCGTGCAATCACGCCGGCACTCTATCGTTGCGAAATTACCAATATTTTTCGCCTTCCTCGACGGACGTATGCTCCAAGTGGCCGCAGATTTATGTTGTTCGACCAGTGTCGTTTGCCGGATGGCCGCAATAACGCTGCTGGCTGTGCCGGGGGGGATGATGCTGGCCGACCGGTTTCAACCTCTTTCACTCCAAAGCTCCCGTTCAACACTGGACTCCGTCGAACACGATTCTCTCATACGTTCCCGGGGCGATACGCATTTTATCATTGAATAGGAAAAAGGGCAAACTCAATTTCTATATGTGATAAATCGAAAAAAAAAAATTTTATACTTTTTTTTTTTTTTTAGATACTGCCATTGTCAGAATTCTTTTCTGGCTCGACGTTTTACGTGGATTTGACGTTTTTCCCTCATCGTCGTCTGATGCAAGATTTTCAATCGAAGAGACGACATATGTTTCGATCAATTTTTTCTCACTTTTGTAATCAATCCTACGATATCGTTATCTTATCTCTGATGTTTTGCTTTGGATAGGCATACAAAAGTTATGATAATTCAAAAATTGTATTGCTTGCGGATTCGGGATAATTGATTGTCGTTCGTTAACGAGCGAATTAATTTATCGGCTAAAATTAATTAATTTCATTATTCATTTCTATTTGAATTAAAGTCGATACTTATTATTATATGTATTTTTTTTAGTCGTTACACGTATCCTCAAATATGTGTTTTTAGTAAACTGCATTTAATACGAAAATTTGATTTAGCATGAAGGGATGACTCTTTTTTTTACTGGGGAGAAGAAATATAAGGATATGATTTGGGAAAGTGGATTTTTCATTTTAATCCGACAGGTGAGAGGTACAGTCTTATCTGATACTCAGACCCTTCGGAAAAATCTTTAAGCTGTGTTTCGAATGAAAATTCTTAGCCGCTTGACACGGCGCGTATGGCAGACACCAAAAATATTGAAATTTCGATATTTGACAGTATTTCACACGTAATTTCATTTTCTTTTCAATATACAAGATTGTACGTTTTTTTTTTTTTTTCGACTAACTGTATATACACATGTATCACACAGTTACTTTATTGACGATTCTCTACTATTAATAAAAAAAAATAACTAATCAAGTTGGTAACTTGATGAAGGCATCAAGAAATCTAGGCTCGCATGTAAATATAAATAAAAAAAAAGTTTTATCAAAACTTTATTACAGTGTAGTATATACCTATAACTAGCTTCCATATTACATATAATCTTCACATCATGCACGCGAACTCTATTATTTAATAATTTCTTCATTATCATCCCTGCAATTTCCTACGTTCAATTCAGATTTTGAACAATTCTCTTGATTACCCAAGTCGACCCCAAACTTTCTCAAAAGCTCAAGGGTTGAGATATCAACTACATTTTAACGTATCCCTAATCGACCCTATCCAAACGCTCATCCCCAAGTGACGGCCAAAGTACGCGATTCCATAAAAAAAATCGCAGAAAATGCACAAACAAAAAAGCAGAAGACGTATTCACGATAAAAAAAAAAATTCAAAATTCCCAACCGCAAACGATACTCAAAATTCATAACAGGTACGACGACGTCACGTAATGACAGAAACGAACACCCCTTAAACGAATAAAAATTAATAAAATCGATCCGTATTGAATTCGAGTCAACGATCGTTACGTTTGATCGAATTAACGAAACGATACATAACCAGGCAGGTACAGTCCCTCGAAAGAGTGCGACAGTTCGATAAATGGAAAAACGTTCCGAAAATAAAATCCACAAATCACGGATCACCATATACAGCGATCCAACGCAGTCCCCAAACTATCGTAAGGTGCTATTGTCGAATAGCATGTAAAAAAAAAAAAAAAAAAAAAAAAAAAAAAAAAAAAAAAAAAAAAAAAAAAAAAAAAAAAAAAAAAATAAAAAAAATAAATCCAACCGTTATTAAAGGACTTAATAGAACCTTACGATTGGCTCGATGGAACCAACTTTATTGCCGATATATACTTTCCACGAAATCCGAATTGTAACGGCGTCACCCGGTATATTGATTTTCCCATTAAGCGGGCAACGTTCGGTGGTTAACGATGTCTCCGGTCGGCGCGATATGTCGTTCGAAATGGAGTAAGCAAGAATCGCGAGGGACCTCAAAAGTAATGGCGATACATTTACCATCGCAGTAAACCTTCCTGTTTTACCATCATGACGTATCGTGTTGATATATCCTGGCTATGGCCTACACGTATAGCCGAGACCACGTGACCAGCGTCTTTATACTTGGTCCATACGCGTACGTGCGAACGACCGTGTCTCTGTATGTTAAAAAAAAAGCAAAGGCGGGATAAGGTGTAAAAAGGTTATCGTCTAACGCATTATTCCCTTCTGTTTCAGAGAGAAAGCTCGGAAGCGTGCACGAGGTGAGTTGGCGCTCGGTTAATTAAGTATTTAAGGGGCGCGTGTACTACCTGTGGTACGAGGAGCAATAATCCGTATAGGGGGTGTATACGTAAAATCCAAAGAAACTCCAGCGCACGGAAACGGTTCCTTTTCCTGCCTTTTCTCTCTCTCTTCAATCGAAGAGAAAAAGTAAGCCAGTTTATTTAATCGAGCAAAATTCAACGAGCTACCTGGCAGGAAATGTTTTTTTTTTTTTTAACGTGTCACTACAGAGTTTCAGTTTTTCAATGCGACGTTAGATTTTGCTTTGACCATTATTTAGGTTTTTTTATTTCAAAAATTTTTATTTTTCAAATTTCTACAGTCTTTCGATGGGTTTGTAAATTATCGTTTCGCCGGGTCATAGGTCAATTGATTGACGAAGAAGGGTGACGAAATTTTTCGAATAATGCCGGGTCTTTCGAAAACTTCGTTATATACGTATGGCATCTACTTTTGATTGTCAAGAGTTTTCGTGAATTTCTAAAAATTTTAAGCTAACCCAAATTTTGGCTTCAACGGCTACCCCCAATGTCCCCAGAGCAAACAGAAGCGTCGACGTTTGACCTCCCTTTGTTTCGCGCTGTCTCGCAAACGAGAGGTCGTTAAAAAAGCACGTTAGCAGAAGCCCAAAAATATTTCTTACGACGACGTTAAATGTACGTATGGGTGCGTCCCTGTGGACGAGTATCTTTCGCATTGCAAGAAGCCCAACGAAATAATTCGTGTTCGGCAGTTTCTTGAGGATTAGGCGGAAACGCGTTTCGCACAAGTGCGGAGGCTGCCAATTGCCTCTGGCACCTCCTCTTATCTTGGGACTCATAACTTGAACTTTCTGCGTCAACTTGGAAACGACGTGGGCGTCGCGGTGGAGTGGGTGTCTGACGTCAGTCCTGGTATCCCCTGGCAACCGGGATTCATTCTATAGCTTCGAGAATGAATGAATTTGAGGCTACGTTCGGGGAGGACGGTATTTGATATTACTAGTAGCCAGAAGTTGCTTTGCTCTATCGCCGTATTATATGGGGTGTCCTGATAATCGCGCACGTCGACCTTATTTTCGTATTTTTCAGGTCGAATTAAGCGACAAGTTCAAATACGAAAATGTCATCTGACAATTAGTTTTTGAGATATAAGCATTTAAAGTGGACCAATCGCGTGCTGGCAGCGAGTGTCAGGACGTCGGTTTACGTGAAAAGTAAAATAATGAGTATCTGGAAGGAGCTAGAATATTAATGACTCGAGTGATTGATTAAATAAATTCAATATTCTGCAAAACTTGTACTCAATATCTGTCGGACTTCTGTCAGATTTGACTTGAGATAAATTAAAAAGCTCTCGGGACGAGATGAAGGATAAAAAAAAAATTTCACTCTGAGCATCATTCAAAGTTATTAAATTTTCAAGCTTTTTCAATTTCACCTCAATTCTTTTTGGGACACCCTGTATTATCAACCTCACTTGGCTCTGGCACAATTCGAACTTCTAGGTTAGTGTAATGGTCAAACGGCGGGAAACTTCGAACTTTCATATAGGGTGTTTCAAAATTCATGCATCACGTACTACTTAACAATATTTTTAGGATGAACATATAGACTACCTATACGCTGGCGATTGTACGTGTCTTATATGATTTTTTAAGAGATGATATTTTCATGAAAAAAAATCTTTTTTAATAGACGCCCTATTTTTTGGAATTCATGGTAAAGTATGACTGACGACGAAATAATATTATCGACAGGATATTTTTTTATAACGATTCAGATAAGACAATTGATAATGTGGATATGGAAAACCCTGTCTGTATATCAGTCAAACAGGAAAAGATTGAACGATACAGGGTGTACGAAATATAAATGAGGAGGATGATGATAAGGCTAAATGTAATAATCCTTGTTATCGTCTTTTGACGTCATACGGCTTTCTCGACTCGTCGTATTGTTATCGCTTTTCGAAACGGTTCGACTATTTTCGCCGCCCTTCGTATGCTTTCGTGTCTTTTCACGCCCTCCTTCGTAATACCAACCTGCGCGATCGTTAGACACTTTCTCCCTGTTTGAGAAGAAAATTACGAGTTCGTAGTGCCAACATTGAAAGAGTTGACAGGACGATGAAGAATTTCGTACTGGAAAAATAATGAAATTTATGAGATTATATAAGAATTTTTAATATCAGACTTCCTTCCTTCCAAATATTTATCGATTCTATTAAACCACACTAAAGGATTCGATTCACTTGACTTGCGTTGTTATCGGGAAAAATATTGATAAGAAAAATTATTTTCATTATTCTTACGCCAAGGTGCTGTAAAAACGAACGAATTTCAGTAGTAGGGTGGGATTTTTTGAGAAATTTCAAAGAAAAAATTCCTAAGTAAAAATTTATTTGAAAATCTAATTACCGACGTGACTGATTTTCTAAATTTGTACAAGTAAATGCTGTTTTCGAGTCGTATGTTTTTTTTTTTCGAAATTTTACGATTCAATTCCACACGCAGTTTACGTCTTTTAGGAATAGACTCAAAAGAGGCAATCAGACTCTGGTACGTCTGTATGCCTGTATACGCGCTGCTGTTTATGCTCAGAACTTGCCTAAATTGATTCGTACTAGAAATTTGGAAAATCAATTATCTCGTTAATGAGGTCTTGAAATGAATTTTCACTTTGGAACATTTTCCTTGTATTTACTCAAAGCACCGAACCCAGCCGTTGAAATGCGTTCGTCTCAGGACACCCTGTATATACGTTCCTACGGTACGAAAATTCATGTCACTCTTAGCTGGGAATTAGGTATTCGCTTTCAGATCAGGGAAAAACATTTATCGCTTCTTGCCAGCTGTTCAAGACCAGAACAATGAACTCCAAGGATTATTTTTCCATAAATCTTCAAGCATCAGCCTGATTTCAATTATCATTGTAAATCAACATTAATCAGTATCGCCAACAAAGAGAACTTGCCAAAGGGTAGATCCGCAGCTTCGTCTCCCATTCTCATTCTCCCAGCAAGACCAGCGACGTCAGAGGTACGTTGGTCGTCATCAAAATCCAACAACGCCAACCCCATAGGACGATCATACCGGGAGCAGCCTGAAGAGACATTCGATACCTTTTTTGAATTTTGGCGCCCGCAGTTTTAATGGCCACCTGGTGTCTATTTTCAGTGACCAATAATATATCGGCATTAAATGTAAAGCAAGGAAAACTCTGTCTTACGATTTCAAATGTATTTGATGTGCACTGTAAAAAATCTAGTGTAAACTGCACTGGCGCGACTGGTGACAAATATTGGTACTAAAAGTATCACTACAGGTCGTACGAACACGGAATTTATTACCGTGAAACTGAATCGAAGCTAAATCCAAATCGAACGTTTTTCAAGAGCCACCCTGTATATCACTGAGTTGTCGAGTTGGGCAACGAATTATTAACTTGCTCCAATTTTTTTTTTTTTTTGAGACCTCGTTTCTTCTTCCATCCAAATCCCACGAGACTGTCTGGCGGTTATAATTTGATTTTGCTTTTTTTGTAGTTAGAAATTTTTTTTTTTGATGAAATTTCAACGAATTCGGAAAATAACGTCGTAATGTATACGTAACGTTGATAATTTATCTGGCAAAATTAATTGATCGATGTACCAAGTAATTGTTTTGGCTCTACCCCGTGTCTGATTTATTTGATAAGCTTACTTTGAGAAAGCTTCACTCAACTTAATCTTCTTCACTTCTTTCTTAGGATTCGGATGTCGAGCAACTTCAGACCTTAAAACATTCCATTGGTGAGTCGAACTTTTTTACTGTGTAACGTTAAACGTTAGTTCTAGGAGATTATTGAAAATTTTATATCGATAGAGTATTGAGTCGAGTTTGTATCCTTCGATTTTAAGAAATTATATGTGAATATTTTTGAGTTTTTTTTCTTATGACTTTTTATAATTTTATCAAAAGCCCGTTAATGCTTCTTTCATTACTTTTTATTATCGTACGAACAACAATCTCATTAAGTTAAACGAATTCAAAGAATTATTCAAAAATTTTATCTTAACGGTAATAAAAATATTCCTAATTAATTAATATATTTCGATAATTGCATTTCGATACAATCGATATCACGATTTCATATAAGCGCAGTGATCGTAGGATCTGTATTAAAATGCATTTTTACCGTACGTACAGGCGGTTTGCGCATTTAGATGCGAGCAGTCTAAATTCGAAAAAAAAATTATCAGTTCATTTTTGGTGTATTTTCATTTTTAAAAAATTTCTATAGAAACCAGACCGTAAAAACTAGGTCGTGACTCATATAGACGTTACGTTCCAGTGTTACCGTGCATTTCCATTATCCTGCGGTGACCCAAATATCGTTGATGAAATCGAATTCTGGCTCACGCGGACGTACTATTTTGCAAATGGAGTAAATACGATAAATCTGGATATGAGTGTCTGCCTTGAAACGATGAAAACTTGATTTAATCAAATTTGCAAATTTTTTCATTTATTTCGTAGGACAGATCGCGTCGACGTGCAAGAAATATATGTAAATTCCTTGAAATGTCTGCAGTTAGGTACCCTAACCTCCAAATTTTGGCAAACATCAAATTACGTTCCACGCGTATGTAATTATCAAGTAATTAAATGAATTTCCAAATAATTATTCCGATCCACTATTCTTCCGCGATATGCAATTATAAATATAATTAAAATACCTACATATTATCACATTAAATCCAATAACTAGAATCGTCACTAAAAAAATGATTCTCGATATCCTTCATTTTCGTCTCAGCCGATTGCGCATTGAATTCGCAGGAAATACCGTCGCTGCAGTAAGAGAAGCTCAGGCGGCTGAAAGTCGAAGCAGTACGATAAAAGAATCTTCCATCCCGGAATTAAATACAGACGCATCAGCTGCAATCGAAGGTAAAGCTTGTTCGATTAATAAAATTACTATTAGACCCACAGTGACTAGTCCGATCGTCAGAAAATATTTAATATTTCACCTTGTACCTAATCCGACCTGATCAGAGCTAACGGCATTGAAAGTAAAGAAAAGCCTATCGCGTCACGTTCGCTAAAAGGAAATAGATACCTATGAATCCCTAATACAACGTTTCCTTGCAGTGCAAACAATCGAGTTCCGGTAAACAAAATTACATTTAATCGAGGCGAAACAGCAGATTTACGACAACGTAATATTATCTGTTTGATTTTCCTAATTGAACTGGAATCCAAACGGCGCGCGGACTCCGATCAATTTTTCCATTTCTATCATCGAATTCAATATTGCCCTTAACCGTATCAAAACTATATCTCCGCACGCTCTACAGCCCTCTGCTCATGTCCAGCGGGACGCCTGTATCTCACCCGGGCTTTTGCCGGTCCGTGAAGGCGTCCCCGTCGATTCCTCTGCCGGGAGGCTCGGTACGTCGAGACTATCTCCCTACGGCATATTCGAGCACCTCGACTTCAACTCAACAATAAAGAATAACTGTACGAATCAATCCGAGAGCGTGGCTTCTGATCAGGGTGGCCACCCGAGGGGAACCAGAAAACAAGAACGTAATCTGAATCGGTAGCCGAACATATACCTATAGCCACGGATGTACCATAAAATAATACGTCACAATACTTGGAGCGTGTAATCCTCTTAATATACATGGTGGCGTTCGAAGAAACGTATTTTATTCTGATAAAAAAAAATTAAAAAAAGTACATTCAAAGCGAGCACACCATATTACCGTTCGCCGGTACAGTAGATTTCTGCTTTTAGTCTATCCTCTTTTTCGTTCTTTTCTAATACAACTTTCCGCCAGGACATTCTCATTCCGGGGCAAATGACGCTGCTCGCGACACTTTGCTAAATAATTTAAGGTCTCGCAATAGCAATGCAATATTTCCCGATAACCTGGCATTGTTAAAACCTACCTGCTTTTTCCACTGTAATCGCCGCCCACGTGCGGCATGTCGGTAACGAAGCGTTATACATACGCGAGAGCGTAAAATCGATTTATTATCGACAGCTATAATACCTGGTGTTCAGTAGAAAAATTCCAAAGTGATCAACCGTCAGGATAATTGACTCTGTAATTTATTGCCATCAAAAAAAATTCGATTCGTCATTCACTTTCAGAAAACACGTGAATGAGAGTAAAAGTAAAAAATGTTAAGAAAATGTTTTTTTTTTTATGAATTCAAATAAAAAGGAGCAATGCAACGATATGCAGTAGATTGCCTATAACGCGACTGGAAATCATGCTGTACGGATTTAATTCATAAATCAGGTAAATCCTGCGTTTTATTATTTAACGCGTTGTACGAAGAATCGCGTTACGTGAAAACTGTAGTCGCAATGTCTTTGACGCTTATAGGAATTCGCGTTGTGAGAGCTCGCTTTGTACGGGAGTCTGTAGAAGTATACCATATAGATATATCTTTCTCAAAGACTTTCCATCGGACATATAAGCTATCAAAAGACACCAAGATATGATAGAGGCTTCGTATTAAAGCCGACAGGCTACGTCGACCTCGTCCACGTCCATTAACTCCATTCACGGATGACCTCGATACATCTTGTCTCAAATATTGAGGGTTCGAAATTACGGAATACTCAGCACGATACAACGGTCGTGCGTGCCTGCCATCTAGTGGGAGTTAATGTAACTACGTGTAACGACTGAACCTACTTCAAATGCCTTCTGTTGCAGAAACGCACGAGAAAGAAGCAAAGGACGCTTCTCCAGAGACGCCATCCGTCGCGACGGCTATACCCAGACCCCTGCCGCCGTCCTTAGTACCGAAAGGCCAGGCCGAAGTTGTTCACGGTGAACATCAACGACAGAACACTAGCGCTCCTGCGGAATCAAGCTCAACTGCTTCGCTCACCGAACAACTCACTGAAAATGGCCAAAGACGTGCTTATGCTCCGCAGGATCTTTCGAATTCGGTAAGTACTTTTTTTACGTTGCCTTTCGAAAGCCAACGATCGATTAACAAAAATTAAATATATTTAACATACCTGTATATTGTATTAATACATACAATCAGGGTCTTGACGTTTATCGTATACGACGATATACGATATATTAATATACGAAATGTCAATGAAGATCGAACGTCAAATTTTTTCTAGTTTAATACTCGATCCTTCATTCGTTTATCTGACTAATTGTGTATGCCAGTTATGTTTGTTTACGCAATTACATATTTTTATTTATAATTTTCCAACAAGCTGGAGCGAATGGACAAGTTGGCTACTTATGCCAGTGTTCAGTACTCTCCGATGGATATGGCCGAATACGTGTTCTGGACTGGTGACGAGAAAGGGGTTACGTTAGCTGTCGAAGAATTTCTTCAGGAAGGATTGGTTAGTATATAATTTCGTGTATAAATATTGATCTGGATAATCGATCGAAATATCGATCTTGGTATTACGCCGTTTAAAAATATCGAGACGTCAAGAAATATTTATCTTATTTTCGTCGTCATGGTAACGCATATTTATTTTCTTCAAGTACGTACTAAGATCCTCAAACTTCAGTACCCTCGCTAGGGTACTGAAATCTTTACCAGCGCTTCTCGCTTTTCCTTGCGTTCAGTCCGTAGCCGCGGAAAAAAAAATTTCAAATCGTTTCATTTGTCGACAGCGAAAGAAAAACGTAAATCGCCAAACCTCAGCAATCCCGTTCATGTATTTATTTTGCTACGTTTACTGGCGGGGCTGGCTGCTATTAAAATCTCGTGGTTCACGTAAACGTACGATATTCGCCAAATAATATATATTTTCCCGATATCGATTGTAATATTATAATATTGATACGATACTCGAGTAATATATTCAATAAGAAACCCCATGATATATTTTAATACCAAGAGTTAGTCCAAGGATTAGAATGTTTTTCAATGAAAAAAACGTTATAAGGCGAAGAAAGCAAATTCCTAAGTAAGACTATATTTTTTTTTCTCTCTCTCAATTGCAGATGACGCGGGACGAAGCCATTGCATTCCTGCAGGAAGTGAAGTATAACTTGGACAATTTGCAGCCCCGTTACGCCCAGGCCAAGGTAGAAAATTAACGAGGAGCCTTAACGACCTCCCGTTTAACAAATGAAGAAGTATTTCTTTCCCAAGGAGTTTCGATTTCCTTAAATATACCGTTTTCATTCGGATTCTTTGAGGAAAACTTACATTTTCACATTTTCAATTTGGATTTATTTTGCTTTTAAAATCTATTGTAATTAAGCTACCGTACACACGCGTAACTGTAGTCGTTAATGTACATCTTTCGGTGTGAATGAAATTTTTTAAATCTCTCTACTGATCCAGCCTCACTGGTTCTATGCTGACATGTAAAGTGGCACTGCAACTGTAACCTACTTAAACTTAAAGATCTTTGGATTTCGATGCTTTCAAAGAGGAAGTCGCTTTCCTCCTGAACCATCTGAAATAAAGAGTCTTTTCTATTTTTCATGTATATGGTAAATACGTTTCCACCCTTTTCGTGTAAGCGTCTCTGCTTCGAATAAATGCACCACCAGCTATATGTATACGCAACGTGACGCGTACTTGGGAGAGAAAATAGCGAGGAAATATAAGTGAATAAAATATTTACCCGAGTCAGTATTTGAAATCGGAGTACATCAATGTTTTACCGTTCAAGATTTATGGTAAAATACATTAAAAGTTTAAGATTATAAAAGCGTTTTTCGTGAAAATCCAAAGCGGCAACTTTCCTTAACGTTATCTCCATTTTCACAATGCACAGTGGTAAAGCGTTATTATTTGAATTTCAAATTCTAACGTCAATTTATTCGACCCTTTCTGAAATCCGATCAAGCCAATTAGCTTCAGCTGCGAACTTGTCGAAATTCTATTAAGGGAAGAATAATTGTCTTGTTTTTAGGAGAGAACTAATTTGATGCAGAAAATACCTTTGTTTGAGAAATCAGAACAGAGCTTGCCATTGAATAAGGAGTACCAAGATGTCCTGATGGATCCTTTAAAGAAGAGGCCCATGCTCCTTGATCCTCTTGCAGGTATGGAATTTCTTATTTATTTATTGTATACCTTATTCAATCAAGTAATTCATTTTCTTTCTTTGTTTTAGCTGTGTTGGTAATCACTCAACGAATTTTTACCATTTGATACAATTTTTTGTCTTTTATTATACCAGCTTATATTCAAGTCTCTTTCACATTACTATTTCTACCTTGTAATTTCACGTCTCTTTGTCAAATTTAGTTTCATTTATTTAGCATACATCATGAAATATAGATATATTTTTCATACCTCTTGCAAAGTCAATCTGTCATCCGGTCTGGTATACGTTCCAATTTATTGTGAATAATTGATTCTCCATTGTGAAGCAAACAGTATCAGCTAGTACGTCAAACAATTATTTAACATACACGTGCACAGCATTATTCGAATGTACAGAATCCCAGAATGTCTCAATATAATAGCTATCAACAAAAAAGAAGGGATTTTTATAAGTCGCACGATGTTCGTTAGTACAGTTTTCCATTTTAACGTGTACTTTTCAACATTTTATATTATCGAATAACGAGCAATAATTAACAAAAGAGTTCTAAACAACGCGAACGCCGTTTAACTGATACTAATAATTTTACTAGTTACTTTCCATTGTTATTTTGCAATTATCCAAGTTCTTTGAAAAATCGCAATTTTTCTTTTCTTCGTTTCAGAATTATCCAACAACAATATCCTTGGACAAAATAGACAAGACAGTCTGACCAATCGTAACGTACCGGAAGTTGCAGCACCATTCAGGCCGAAGGACGCTGTCTACGAGGAACTTCTTGAACGTCTCAAGGTGGCTGACTTCCTTTACACGAAATACTCTCTCGAGGAAGTTATCTATCAGCTTGCTAAAGTCATGTTCTCCCAGGCCTTGACTAGAGGTAAACCATCTTGACCTTCGACACGTATCGATTATAACAATCCAGTTAAATGGGTCACTCTCGCATATGTATTTTCTATTATCCTCCTAACGTCAGTTATCCAACTTGATAACGGACCTATTCGTAATCCTAATGATAACACTGATTGCAGTGAATTTAGTGTCTGTAAATTTTTGAAATTCCAGGTAGCAATTACGCCCAGGATATACTTCAGAAGTTCACTGTATTTCTGGAAACGGAAGCAGCCGAAGGACGAATCACTAGAACCTTGGAGAAGAAAGTTCTGGGTGGGTTTTAAAGTTACTTTCTTTCATCCGCATTTCACCTTATCATTAACTAATTTATTGATGGACTGTACAGGTCCTTTAACAGGTTGAAAATTATAATGGATAGGTCCAATGGCGGACGGAGAATTTGCCAGAGAGTTTGGCCTTCGCTGGATGAATTAAACTTTCTGTATATATATACATATAACGTAAAGCTCACTGTATATAGCTTAACGGTTATGGAGAAGCAAACTTCGTTAAGCTTCACTTCGTCTTGGGACTACTGTGCATCACTAAGTAGTCCTAACTCCTCGTGCAAGGAGATACGTATATCCTCATGACTGATAAAGTTTAGTAAAAGGAATGCTTGTTAACCCACGTCGACCTCAGACAACTGGACGTTTAACGAGAAGCTACCTCGTTTCCTGTCGAAGTAGGAAACCACCCAATGTGTTATTCATATACAAAGAAATGTGAAAATGAAAAATGAACATTTTTTGTTTTCAAACGTATAACTTTGCTAAAGCCACTTTCCTTTCATCTTTCCCAAATGCTTATTCGCTTTGCAGAGAAGCTTCAAAGTGCACTTTCTTTTCTATTGCCACAGTTATTCTCAGCCATTGAGAACGAACGCGTGTTATTCTATGCAAGCCGGCGCCATTGTGTCGAATAATGGAGGTACCTAAAGTTCGTGCTCTAAAACAAAAATGTCTCAAGTAGAACAGGAAGTTGCTGCCACCGAGGACGACAGTCGGTCCCCCGTGGGTTTATCCACCCTGAGGTACAATGGAACGAATTGAAATGGAGGATCAGTACCCCGATTGGTTGGTTAACTCGCAGGTTGACAACTTTGAGAAAAAGGATCTCTGAAGTAACGCGAAATTTGATTCTTGTCAGAGCCAATTAAGGAATACCCAGGATGGAGTAACGTTTTTAATTAATATCGACGACGTCTGATCCTCGAGGTGCTTGTTCGTAGCTGGATACGTTTCAGGCTTTAGGAGAAAGGTCAAAGGGTAGAAAAGTTCCAAGTGGAACAATGCTCTATGAAAAATACTATAAAATCCACAGGCACTCTACAATATGAGAATTTCCATATGATATTTTCAATAATGGTATATACGTATTCGAAGGATGAACGAAAGAATTCATATGAATGCAAATACCTGTACGTGGTAGATTTTATGGTGAAGTAATGAAAATGTGTGATATACGTGATAAGCATATTTTCAACTCTTACTGTTTTCTTTGCTTTTACTCCTTTTACTCTACTCTTTTGCGAATTCATTTTATTCAAGGGAATTGTTTTCTTTTTTTTTTTTTTTTTTTTTTTTTTTTTTTGATTTTATGACTTCGGAACACTATTGTCATGGGTGTTTCACTATTTACTACGTTCAAGTGAAGAATCCGTATAAAAATGTGACAAAAGACATTTTTTGTTTTCAATGGGAATTGTCTGCCGCCTTTCAGGAAACCCTTCGGTATTTTGAACAGAAAATTTTATCTGACAATTTCGAGTTTTTTTTTTTTTTTTTTTATCCATTTACAATGAATACGAAAAGCAGAATCAAAAAGTAGGTTAACAATGATTTTGATGAAAAAAAAAAACAGTCACTCGTATTCGCAGTTTAATTATTGACATTTGATATTTTTGATTAATTTCCCAATGAACGGTCAAAAATTGATCTTTTCGTATAAAATATCTAAATTCTTCTTCTCTCTGTTTCAGACGTACTGATCGCAGCGCTTTCCGATACTGTGGCGGAACATCCTGAATTAGCGAACCCAGGAAGAGAAGCTCTGATGGAATCCCCAGTGGTACCTACAGTCAACAGACGACTTCTTCAGGAACTCCTCTTCTCCCAGGTTCCAACTCATCTGTCAAGTCGGGATTCAGCGATTCTCGATCTCAATAAGTACATCCACGAAGCGTAAGTCCTTCCGGGCTCAGCTGCGTGAATCCTTCGTTTGTCCCTCGTCGAGCGATTACTCGTTATAAGTTATAACTATGACGTACAGAAGTTGGATGGCCCTGATGGCACTGCCTACGGGTACGTCGTGTCCAATTGGCGAACGCTGAATCAGGATTTATCATCCGGCGCACAGTTTGGCTTTCTCGGGAGAATCATGGTGACTCTGCGAATTGTCATACGTATTTTTCGTCTCTTAAAAAACCCGAAGTCTCTGGCTTAAGAATTTTTGCAAATTTTCACGACAAATTCCATAACGCTCGATTCTCTTAATGAATTTACGTAGCAGCTGTTCTCTTTATTCTAGTCAAATTTTTACACTCACGAGAGTAACGATGATTCGCGTAATCCTTATTGAAAATTTTTACCCGCAAATTTCTTGTTACCGTAATTGCTTATTTGTACGTTTGGGTACGTTATACTTTCTTGAATCTTTTATCCTTTTATCTTTTATATGATTCGCGTAATCCTTATTGACAATTTTTACCCTCGATACCGCAAATTTCTTGTTACCGTAATTGCTTATTTGTACGTTTGGGTACGTTATACTTTCTTGAATCTTTTATCCTTTTATCTTTTATATGATTCGCGTAATCCTTATTGACAATTTTTACCCTCGATACCGCAAATTTCTTGTTACCGTAATTGCTTATTTGTACGTTTGGGTACGTTATACTTTCTTGAATCTTTTATCCTTTTATCTTTTATATGATTCGCGTAATCCTTATTGACAATTTTTACCCTCGATACCGCAAATTTCTTGTTACCGTAATTGCTTATTTGTACGTTTGGGTACGTTATACTTTTTTGAATCTTTTATTCGCCTCGTTACATAAGCCTATTCTCTAGTTTGTTATCCCAAGATGAATCTTATTGTTGCCGTTTGTCGCGATGGACGATTCAATTTCATTCGGGACAACCGAAGGGAGCTACGGGATCAGGACGAATCCGTATGAATAAAAGCCATGAATGGTTTGCGGTTGAAATCGTATTTGAAAAAGGTCAAAGGTCCTTAATCGCATGTACGCTTGTCGAAGAAGAAAAACGCTTCGATTCGAAAATCGTCCGTTGGATCTTTTATCTTCTTCGAAAGCATAACAGAAATGGCTTTCGTCAAGCTTTTGGTATTCTTTAAGGTCTTCGTAGCGATTTTTAATTATGTAAAAATTTGATTTTCAATTATGTAAAAATCCGCGAAGTAGCATTTGAAATTGTATACATAAATTGTGTCATCTTCTACCTTACCGACACTGGTCAAAATTATCAATTGGCGAACACAGATAAAAATATGGCAAATCAGATATAAGGTGAGAAGGAAGAAAAATAAATTTTGAAAAACATTTCAACATTGTTAAAATAGAAAATAGCGACGAAAATTCTTAAATTATACCGTAAACGATACAAATTATGAAATAAATAATTATAACAATCCGGGCAAACGACTGTTCGAAAGTCTCGCTACGATTCGAACTGACGGATTCGCAGAGTGCCGATTGATCGTTAATCACTTTCAATTTGCCAATCAGCGATATTAATCTGCGAAGAAAAAAATCGAACAAGACTAAACCGATAGTAACGACATATCCAAGTTTTCCGGCGAACGAGCGCAATTCGATAAACCCATTTCAATATGGAATTTAAAATCTGCCTACGTAATCAATGAGTAACCGATATTCTCATTATTATCACACCCGTTAATTTCCATATGACAAAGCAGAAGACCAAGGCCGAAAGGGATGGTTAGAAATAATTGGAGACTGATTAAACTGATTCGGCCGAGTGATAAGCTGATAAGATTCTTGTACTGTTTTTCCACGCTAGCGATACTCTCACGTAGTTTTCCCGTAATAACGCATTAAATAAATTATTTTAACACGACTTATCCTAAACGCAAGAACGAATCGCACCTTGAACTTTCCATCTTTCCGTCGGATTTACGCAATTCTCATTTTTCCCATTGCACCTCACATTTATCGAGCTGCAGTACTACTTTACCGACCGTTACGTCATTGACGTTACCTTAGCGACGCTATTAATAATCAACGTTTATCATTTAAAATAAAAATGCGCAAAATTAATGCTTCGTGTCATCAATTACGAGCGTGTATCCACTGTACCAAATAATGTTATCGCGATGACGTGACCTATCGTCCCTTGATACTGCGGAAGATAACTTGTGTATCTATAAGAAATAAAATGATCCCGTTTTAACTTGGAAGGTCTCGTGTGTTATAATACATTTAATCTAGCCTACCTTACGCTTTTGCTATCGCTCCTAGAATCGTATACGATTCCCTTGCAATTTCCTTCTGTGAGCTGAGAAATCCTTGACACGCTTGCTCAACGTATCTAGGACGTAATACATATACAACGTCCCTGAAGTATACTCTATAAGGATATACGAAGAAAATGAAAAAGTTATTTATGAAAGAGTAATAAAAAATATTTTTCAAAATCAATCGTGGTCGCCAAAAAGAATGGAAATTTAATTACCTAAAGAAAATTCCGAATTTATATATATATATATCAAAATATTTTTTTTAATAATAATCCTTCACCCTATAAAGCGAACGCACGTAGGAACCTACTGTATTCCGTTCGTAAGGTGTGTATTTGACGTGGCGACTGGCAATGCAAGTGGCACAGGCAAAGTTACAGAGCGTAAAACGACTGGTAACGATGCCCGTAAAGCTTTTACGGCGCACAACAATCGTACGTACGACTTTTAAAGTGTCTCATCTCCAACGGTGACCTTTTTCTGGATTACAGGTAAAAGTACGATACGAATGAAGAATAGCCAGAGCACTTTTAAGGTTATGTCGATTTACTTTTACGAAGTCGGTGGAAAACTCGCGAATCAAAACCCGCTTGTCGTTATCGAAAATCGCCAAACCATCGATCGTGGCATAATCGGAGTGTCGAATAAATTAAGACCTCCCAACGCTGCCAGCCGATTCGTGTCCTGATTTCAAAGTGTCCCGGACCGCATCACGTACGACATTAACGTTCCGTTGATTATGCATCTTCGCAAAGATATCAGAAGATACTATTTTGTCAGAGAAAATGAAAATGTATAATAAAAAAATAAAATAACTGATAACACATGAAATTTTCGAAATATCCGTCAAATTATTTTTTTTCACTCCTAAATTCTCAAAATTTGTCCAATCAAATATAATTATCCATTGACACTTCGGTGAAACAAAATTGGATAGGCAGGCTGGGGTGGTAAATTTTTTAATAAATATTTCACAACTCCACACGTTCCCTTTAATACGAAGCACAGTACCTGTTCCCTGTATATCTGTATACAGTGCAGACTGGCTTTGCGGTTCGATGCAGTTGGATTATGATAACAGGAAGATACAGCCAGTACATCGTTATACATGCTGACAACGTTGCAGCAATATTCTCGGATCAGGTGTCAGTGAGTTAAAGAAGAATAGTGTTCGCGCCGTAGGCTAGTAAGTATTAGGTGTAAATAAAAAATTTACGGCCAAAAATCTTAGAGCGTTCGATAACCTTAAAAAATAAATCCCCGATAAAAAGTTAATGCAGAGCGACGTCGTGTCGATAAAAAGATCTCTCGAGACTTGCTGCACATGTAAAATCGATTTATCCAGGCTGGATATATCGTGCCAATGAAAGTTCATAACGATAAGGGCACGACTCGAGTTTTGGAAATACGCGACACGGAGCGGTATTGCACGTCAGGCTTAACAAGACTCGGACTACTGGCTGACGCGACAGTAAATGTTTCACTTGCTTGCCGGCAGTCGACATGCGGTAAACGAGGGTCGGCGATACTTGGATTTTCAAGTGATCGACTCAAATTTGAAACAGACTTGAAAATAAATGATATTAAGGATAAATTGGAATTTTTTATGTAAAATAAAAGTCAAAATTTCGCGAGAAAAAAATATCGCGAACTATGTCATACTGTGGGACACACTTTGTTTATCGTGAAAAAATATACATGTATAATTGTGTATATGCATGTCGTATTGGACTTTTCCTCTAAATTTTTTTAAATTCGAAATACTTTCTACAGCGTCGATAATTTGCTTTTGATAAGTCGCAAAGTTACCAATTAATGTTTACTCGGTGAATCTTTTCGATAAAAATTTTGCAAATTTTCGTTCGTCATGCACGCGCGGTACGGGCACTCGCGTGGGAATTGAATGAGATTTGAATCGGCTTTGATTGTCCGCGTATGGAATGAAATACGATTTACCATTGTACAGCTGTGATAAATATCCACAGGGTGAAACGATAACTTTGTCTACCTTAAATAGAAGCGGAGAACGGTCTAGCGGAAGAGTACGAAATAGTACTATGATTTATTTCATAACTTTGTGAACGGACTGTTTTCACTGCGACTGTATAAATTTGTTTTCCAGTTTTAACCGTATTACCCGGTACGAGAGCGGGGGGATATCGAAGAAAAATTCTAGAAAGAATGACCTCTTGAGAGTGCGACGTAAATTCTGAAAATAAAAAACAATTTTACTCATTCAACCCTGTTCGCAAACCAGACGTAATACTTGGGATCCAAATTATTGGATGAATAAAATAAAGAAATGTGCAGTCACGTAAAATTATAATTAAAAAAAAAAATTTTCATATCCGAATAATTTATTTATAGAGGAAGTAAACCTCAGAAAAAAATAATCATATTCAAGCAAGTTTGCTTTTTTCAAAGTGCATTAAAAGTTCAAAGCCTTTGGTCATATTTTCAACGTTACCTCCACACGCCATATTGCGTGTCTTTTACCAGATTTATATTTTTTACATTTACGTCGACTTAAACGTGCTGTGCTCATAGTTAGCGCTGGTTACGAAGTTAAAATTTATTTGCTGCCGTTTTTTACTTTACGAACATTTTTTTCTTGTTGTTACTTATTTCACAATAGGGAATCCTTAAATTTTCTTTTTCTTTCATTTTTCGACTTTTTCACTTTCGTAGCTCCGATTCCTCTTGAAGGCTTCGTAAGTTGAGGTGGGACAGTATCAACTCCGCCAGAACGAGAGCCCCGAGCTCTATCCGAGAGGGTTCGGAGTGAGCGTCGGGTAAATAGTGCGGAATACAGAGAGCGAATGACGGAGGAACGTGACAGAACGAATCGGAGCTGTCAAATCGAAATCCCTCCACCGATTAATATATTGGGAGTACTCACCGGAGCTGGGTCAGCTGATCGGTGAAGGCCGAGAACTGCATCCAGGGGACACTCACGTGGACACTGCACTGTAGCACAACACTTCACTATAGCACAACACTGCACTTCCGAAACGCAGGCAGAAAATATCGCGGATTTTCAGGATATAGCGACGAGCAACGCGAGAACTTCCTGTACCGTATAGGAAACACGGCTAGAAAAACTGTAAACACTTAGCCCGGGAGCGCGAGGCAGCTCGAGGCACCCCGATCGGTGTCCCAAGACAGACTGATGACAGACTGATTTGACAATAGTTAAATTCGGGAACTAATCATTCTGATTGGTCGAGATCCTTATAGCCAATAACTATCATTCTTTCCCTCGAGTCGTCCCTTTAAGCTAAATCGAGAGCGTTTCTGGAAGGGTATAGCTGGAGTCGGCTTGCGACCGTGAATCGAAAAATCACGTAACACTAATATATATCACATTTCAAAGAGATAAGATAGATACGATATATAGTAGCAGCAGATAAACCTAAAGGCGGATGTAAAATGCGACCTTGATTATACCAAAGTAAAACCCTGAATTTTCAGCCACCATTCATTTTTCGTTCTTTGAGGTTATCAACACCGAAACTTTCTACTTCCTCGTTGCTCACGTACGATTTACGTGATGTTTTTCTCTCTTTCCTCGACTTTATCTTTACTTTTTTCTTTGATCCCCTTTTCAAGAGTCACAGACCGTACGCGAGCACAATGTTGATAAATGGACCGACTGAACCACTCAAGACTTGAAATACAACAAAAAAATTTTCGCATGACTTTCATTTCGAACGTTGAATATCCGTATACATTTGTACGTACGTTTCCTACACTTTTCTTTTTTCTGAGGCATTTTTTACTTTTTTTTAACACGTATAACTTTAATATCAACTTGCTTCCTGTTGTTCCAGAATATTTGTAAAACTTGAGAAAAACAATAGTTCAAAGTAGGTCGAGCGTATTCTAACCTCTAATATATATGTACGTTTCAGATTCGACTTGCATAAGTAAATACATCGCCACGATAAACATTGATTATGCAAATTGCTCGAGACTCGCCTGTAGTTTGTAAATCGAAGTCTGAGTATAAAATTTCGAGAAGATTTAATTCTCGAACCCACGAAACTCATCCTTGTTTACACTGGTTCGCCCGTATCCTCTCTCGGCCTTTCGTTTTGTTCTCCTGATTCACAGCCCGTCTTCCTTCCTGCCGTCGGCTGGCGTCGCTCCTACGAATTTACGAGTGGATTTACGCCTGGTAAATAACCATAGAATAGTCAGTACTACTACGTCGTTCGAGGGACGTCAAAATGTATCCCGAAGAAGTACGGAGCCATTCCCGTCCTAGGATTTACATCAGAACATTTTACAGCCGGTGACTCATTATTATTGAACTTGAGAAAAATGTTAATTTAAAAAAATCACAAATTGTACATCGACTCTGTAACGAAATAAGGCAAGAATTAACCTCGTAAAAAATGAGTCAAGATAAATATAATTAATCACACGTAGAAAAGTGAATTGTACATACAAATTGTATTGATATAAATTTTTTTGTGTAAATCCAAATTTTCTCAGCCCTATAAATAAATATAATCAATAGCGATACAGTGTTTACTCTTTCGTTACGGTTGGCACCCACGGGCGCGAAAAAAGGTTAAACAGATTTCATATCCGGTTATTTAGCACGAACCGTGACTGGTCTGTCGTTACGAATAACTCGTTGAACCAAAAAAGCACGTTACTTTCACGAACGTCGTAAACGTTAATGAAAGCTCTTTAGATGTCCCGGTGCGTTTGGTCTACCGTAAAAAAAAAGTAACTTGGAAGTATTAAGCTTGTCGGATTCTAGCTGGCAGGTAGCCATCACCTCTGTTGTAACAAGTTTAGTTACTCCTCAGCGCCCCGGGCTGGGCAATACTCGCTACTCCAAGGAGTGGCAGGACTTGAGGAGGTGGAAGGTGGATGACGTAGCTATCTCGTGATCCCTCACAAGATAAAAGAACTCAAGGCTGTTGGCATTGCTGGGACTGGACAGCGACTTGAGATTAGCTCGGAAACTTACAGGGTTGAATGAACGTGCCCTTAGGTTAGGTATAAGTCACCTAGGAATACATCTGGGACTGGCTGTTAACCCTTATGGCCGAGGAACGGAGAATAATAATTGCCTCGGGCAATTTTCTTTGGTAAATGTCAGGATTTTGGAATTTTTTAAATTCTACGTTACCTCGGGTTCTCAGACTATCCCGTATTGATCCCAGGAATGGTCTAGGGAAGGATTTCCAAAAATTGTGATAATTTCTTGTTCGATGGAAAATTTTAGAATTTTTTTTTTCCGAATGATATATCGAGGTATGTGACTGTATATTATTGAGAGGTAGCGGACGTCGGGGTGGAATCTGGCGAACGAAATTTCACCGAGTGATCAGGGGGTGCAGACAGGCTGGAGCCGTGAACGTTGAAACGGAAAATGTTATTGTTACAAAGTGTGTCATAAATTTGGGCATTTATTAATTTATTATGAAATTTCCCGTTTGGACGTTTAATATTTTTGGTATCGAGCACCACAGTTAAAGCTTTATTATTTCAATCGTAATTACAACGGTTCCAATTAATCCGACAACGTAGATAAACATTTTTTTTCAAGACTTCTCAAAATTTTTACTCACATCGTTACTTTTTTTTTTTATTTAATATTCAATTATTATCTTCTCGTATCTTTACGCATTGAGCAGATAAGAAAATTTCACGTTAACAATGATCCGAGAGGTCGAAATTTTTTTTAAAATAAAAGACCATCTAATACACCTTTATAGTCATAGTCAATTTATCTAATTTCATTATTAATTTTAAATTTAATTTTTATGCCGATCATATACAAAAATTATATTTCGTGAAATTTAATTACAGCTGTACGAGTTAATTATTTATTCGGCAGTTTATCGGTACGAGACAAAGTCAAATGAAGAACGAAAAATTTTCAACCTCGTAAGAATTTTACTTCGAGTACCTCTGACACAGTCTATACTCTATTGAATCTACGAAGAAAATATATATATATATATATATACAGTGTCTCCACGATACAGCCATTAAAAGTATTTGAGATTCGATAATGAATCCTCCACTTTATACTACGACACTGCGTCTATTGGTCTTGCAATGAGGACTGTACACTTCCAATTTCCCCTTCGGTGTGTTCATGGCTGAATAATCAATTGGAAACGGAATGGAATCACCCCTAAGTATACAGGAGTCGGTCATGCCCAATAAATGTTCTCCAGGTCCAAATGGTCCACGTCCAAATAAGAAATTGGCAAATACCAATTGATACTGGATCCAGCCCAAAGGATGATCTCCATTCTAAAAGAAAATAAATTAATTTAATAAAAGCCAATTATACATACACAGCAACCCCTGCAAGCTTTCCAAACTGCAAAAGCTCAAGGCGCGAGCTTGCGCCTATACGCGTAACGTCCCTATGAGATAACAAAGTTATCGCCTGTTAACGTTGAAACTGTAATAATAAAATTCGTAATAAAAAAAATTTTATTAATCGCAGATTCTCGTATTAATTTAATATTCAAAAAAAAATGAACCGAGCTTTTAAATGTAATTAAAAAAAAATTTAACACGGACAAACTTTCTGTATGGTCGTATCGGTGAAATTAACGATACGCGTACGTCTTACTTTGCCTAAGCAAATCCCATGAAAAAGTAGGGGTTACTTTTAGACAATGATTACCGAGGTCAGGGATCTGTATGCTGTGTCGAGGCAATTATTTATCCTCTCGTAGTCCAATCCCACAACGGAGCCGTAAAAAGCTGAAAGCTCGTCCTTACTGATCCTCCCACTTCCGGACGTGTTAATGGCCAGGAAAAGTACTCTGGGTATTGTCTTTACCCAAAGGGGTAATTCCGAGTAGCTCGATGTATCAGAGGTCGCCACCAGTCTGGCCCACCAGCACAGCCATTCCTCGAGGTCGATGCGTCTTTCCGTATCGCAATCAAGGTTTGACTTCTCGAATAAAATGGCCTTTATCAGTCCCTCCTCCATTTCCAATAATCTCAAGTATTCGGGACTGTTACGCGACCAGTCAGCGAATCTTCTCAGACGCTAGTGAAAAATTGAACCTTTAAGATTTATTGAGCTTTTTTCATCTTTTTTAAAACGTCAATCGATAACGTCGCGATCGAAAATATTTACCGGCCCCGATATACCCGATAACGTAAACTTCCCTCCCATTCGCTTACCTCTGACAAAAGCTCGAAGTCCTTTCTACCGATAAATCCATCTCTGTCGTGATCCAGGAGATAAATGAAAAAGTGTGAAAACTTGTCACGCTGGATCGGTGCCAGGGCTTCTGCACTCGTGTCCTTGCAAGGTCCGTCGTTTCCGGAAAGACTCTCGTCGCTGGGGAAACGGCTGACCCAGGTCGCTGCGAATTCAAATTTTTCGTGATATTTCAGTATTGGCGAGGAAATCCATGAAATTTGGAACTTTGGTACGAAATTGTTGAAAATTTAAAAAAACTATTATCACACGCGATACTTGCACGTAAAGACTGCCGAGTGAACACTGTGAGTACTTTGTGAGATGTAAGCTCAAAATTAGAGACTGGAGACAATAGCGTGTCTTCTTGTAACGTGAATATAGCCTTTATATGTACTAACAGTGCTTTATCCTTATCACTGACAATTACTTCGCTCTAAATAAATCCGTGGATCGTTAAGTGACAGAGCGATGTTAAACAGAGTTAACGAAGTGTCTGACAATGATAAAGAAAAAGTTTTTCACCATACAGCATAACTGCATATTGAAATTGAATATGGGAAAAAAATAAATTTTCCAAAAAAGAAAACTGTAATGATAAAAAAAATTTATTTAACCAAATACCCATCGGCGTCAGTATCGATCAATCGGCCAATACCCCATTGCGTCCTACAAAGTAAATTTTTCACCCCCCCAATACTGGAACAGGATAAAGTAATTACAAAATTAAACAATCTACGTTGAATCAAAAACGCGAAACATTTAATTCGAATAAATGAAAGATCACTGAGCGAGAAATAAAAAAAATGTGACTTCATGAATTCAAAATATATCGCAGCCAACCGTTAACGATAAATGATCAAAATGACCCGGAACCTACGAACGTATGTTAATTTTTATTTTCCGAAAAAAAAAAAAAAAATATTTCCAAATATTCTAAACTCACTCCAAACATGGACGCTCCATCCAGGATGGTCCAGGTCTCTGGGCGCAGTCGGAGCTCGGCCGAAGGCCTCCTCGTGATTTGGTACCGTTCGCCACCTCTTGAGCAGCTCCTTCGTCCTGTCGCGCGTCCTGTCGCAAGCCTGTCTCCAATTGGCGATAAACTTACGGGGTACCTTGGAAGGGCTGCTGGTCTCGTCGTAACCTGCCAGTTCTATACTGCCGCCGGAGCTTCTTTTGACCTCTGGCCCATTGCCCTGCGACCCGAGCGAAGGGGGTTCCTTAATGCTGCCCGAACGACCTTCCATGATGAACTGCCAAGTTAGCTTAGGGTTGCTGCCTGGAATAATCGATTCTAACCTGGACTAGCAGGTCGCTCGATAAAGTTACCGCTATCACGCACCTTCGTAGCCATCGTGCATGTACTAGGCTATACTCGGGTCAAGACTTTTGTCACTTGCATGTGTCACGCAAGGAAATTTTACCGGGAAATTAAGAAATACACAAAACACTAGGTACTATTTTCACGGATAATAGTTAATCGGTCAGATCAGCGAGGAGTGATCAATCACTGGCATTTTGACAAATTTTACCAATCGTATACGTAGAATACTTTCAACGTGATTACGTAACGGGAAAATATATATGTACGTAACGGTATATTGATTAATTCATTAAGACCGAAGAAAGTAATCAAATTCATTCTCATTAAGCACTACAGTTCCTGCTTACTCTACATGAGGAAAAATTAGAGCACGGATAAATAGCGAATGCTGGATCGGATCGCTGGCTATTAAATTTTCTTTGATTTAAGTAATTTCACGAAGTAGCTATTGGTCATGGGTAAAACTGAGATTTTACATTTTTTTTTATTAATACGTAATTTATGGTATTTTTATGTATTTATTTATTACTGTAAACAAGGAATATTCATCGTTTTCGCCCTTCATCAATTTCTACCAGCTCGAGATAAGCCGATTGTAGGCTCGGAATTTATAGTCGCGCGAATTTTCCATTATTTCGATTATCAACGGTGGCTCTTCCGAACGAAATATATCCTCTCTGGTAAATAGCGATGGATTGAGTTGTAATATTATTTTGAAAAATTTAATTTTTTAGTAAGTTCATATATCCCACTTTTTTTTTGTATCTGCACTTCGTGTCGCGTTCGCAATTCGTGATAATTATTTAGTCAATCGGAAGGCTCGGGTCGAAATAAGTCACGATCGTCAAGATTGCTTAAGGAGCAATTATCGGAAAGACGTAGGAAAAGTTTCCTAATGAAAATACTTAATGGGATATATATGTAGGTAGGTATACATATGTAGGTACACGATATCTAGAAAGACGTGGAAAATTCAAGAATAAATCGCAATTTACTGCAAGTTGCAAAGTCGCGATAATGAAAACGCTTTAATTACTCCTGAACGTAGGTAAACTCCAGGATTTAAATCTTCCCGCCCTTTGCCCTGTCATTTTATCCAATAACCTTATACCGTGCTCTGTGAAAACTGTATAACGAATATAAAAATCCTAACGTCGTTTTACCCCACTATTTAGCTCCATCAGTTACACTCCAATACCTTGTATGCTTCACAAATAATTATTATCATGGTATACTATACACAGTAAATAAATAAAAAGGCAAAATCACTTGTACGCTACCGTCAAAGAATTGCTGAGCATAATACTGATAAGACCTAAAATTGTAATACAATGATAACAGGAAAAGTCATTGTTATGATCAAATAATAATAAAAGGAAATAATTTACAATTTTACAAACAGAAATCACTGCTTACAAGTACGAGCTTTCTTAATGCTCCTTTGTAGAGACTCGAAGCAAAGGAATTCACGGCTCGTCCCTCATTCATCGCATTACCCTTAGAAGTGCTTAATAAATACACGTAAAATGAAGTTTATTTACAAGCGACAGTTACACAGATGCCTATAGCTATATATATATGTAAAATAATAATAAAATAAAACATCAAAGACCAAAATCGCATCAAAGTACATAAAAATCTCGCTAACGACCCGGCGCGTTCTCATGAACACTCTGAAGTGTACACTTTTTCTCCCATGACGATCTTCAAACGCATGAAAGCGATGAAAACAAAAAGTCTGAAGTAGTTAGAGGACTGTTATAAGGGTAGCATTCAGTATAGGGGTTGGTTTCCGAGTACGCAAGCAATTCTGTAGGGATCAGAAATGGCAGTGGGGAATTTCTGTGCGGCACCGTGACACCTACTAAATTTTACTTTGCAGTATTCCTACCCAGCCACGTTTCCATGAATGCCACTTGTTATCGCCGACTTTCGTGATGTCGTTGTGAGAGCGCAGCTCGTTGTGACTAGTCGAAAGAAAGCATGGTCAGGAAAAAACTAAACGGCCGGAACGCATTAGAGTTATAAAAGTTTTAATTTAATATGTTTTTATCTTGGCTTCCTGCTACGTCGATTTTATTCACCTCCGGAATACATTGGAATTTTTACTCGAATGGGGTCAGGGTCTGCGAGGTTAGATATCCTTGAATTTGTTTTTCCTACATCGGGAATTGTATTCATACAGCATACTTATTTAAAGATTATCGATTAGTTTACAATAACTAATTTATAAGTTTTACCGTTGTATCTTTTCCTTTATTCATTCGTTGCACATAAACATTCGATAAAGGTTTTCGCTTGCTGTCTACGTCTAGAAGTCATAGCCATTGAAATATATATATATATTTTACTGAACTGCGAAATGGGCTCATTCCCATCTATTTCCATGAGACACAACCTCTGCGTAATGGGGGATACAAGCGAGCAAATTGCGTGATCTTAGGGTAAATTATTAAAGGTACAAATAAGGTCAATCGGTTTTGATGTTTTTAGGAAAAGGAAGTTTATTCTTCGCGACATCGATTGAAAAATCGCAGAGAGAAATTCTGAATGCAATAAGATAACGTATGTAGAGTCGCTGGAATAAACACCTCAAAGAATATGATGATTTATCGCTTTCTACGAAGAGACAGCGAATTCCTCCTGAGCCAGGCTGCACGTCGTGAACCACCAATCGTCTGTGAGAAACGATGTCCTTTACCTAATCCTCGAGAACTCCTTCCGGCGGATGTCTTTCCACGGAGTTCACGATGCTTTTGTACGGCATTGGTGATCCAGTTAACCTTAGGATCTTTACGGATAGCCTAAACGTACAACAATCATTAGTATACGAAAGGTACACGAGCTGTGAATTAAACTACACTAATTCTGTTACATATAGAATCAGACATCCAAGGAAGATAATAAAATCATCAGTATCAAATATCGTAATATGAATTCATCATGTTCAATGAGGAGGTACAAACGTTATGATGTATTATATACAAAAAATACTAATAGGTGTAGAGCTTTAATTTAATTTTATGGTCAAAGATAACGGAGCTTGCGCGAATATTTCATCGATTTTAGATATATTTACGTTATATAAATAAAAGTATATCTGACCTTGTGTGCGGGATCAACCAAAATTACTTCATAGTATTTGTAAGAGGAGTCTTGTGCTACCCAGTAGCTATTCAAGACTCGAAGACCCCCACAACGTCGGCCAACGCGTTCCTGGGAGAAATAGTTTACATTTATTACAAGACATATTGATCATTTTCAATACGTTGTTGGACTATAGTAGTTTCAGACATCCAAGGAAGAAGAATAATCATGAAATTCATTAAGTATTATTTGTCATCATCTTTGCTTCTATAATTTTATATTATTATCGAAATTTATTTAGTTTTTAAGTATAGTATCTCACCTCAGCCACAGATTGTAATTTACGGGTGGGCTTGAGCTGGTTCACACCATGGCTTTTGGGCTTGCCATAAGTAGCTCCCTTGGGTACGGGACGTTTGCGACCTCCGCGTCGTACGCGAATTCTGAAGATGACAAAACCTGCATTTGCGACAAAAGAGAATAAGAATTAAAAATGTATATCTTTTTTTCAAATATTATAATAAGTAGAACATTTCTATGTATAACCATCAGGCGGTACATATCCCCACGTATTGGTAGGAGTGGTGCATGTACAATTCATCATATTTATTTTTAATATGTAACAAGATATGCGTTGAAAGCACTTTGCATCGAGAATCACATACTTAAACATTACTAGTTCATAAAATTCTATGTAAGAATGGAGTTGAGACAAATTAATAAATTTAAATGAAATTCATTATACTTGTATTAAAATGTTGTACCTTGTTTAGCCTTGTATCCTAAGCGACGGGCCTTGTCAGGTCTGGATGGTCTTGGAGCACGATGCAACTTAGTGAGCTGGCGATATTGCCAACATCTGACGCGAAGCAAGAAACGGAGCACATCACTCTGCTTCTTGCGATACAACTCTTGCATATACTTGTAAGCGCCCATCTTGGACCCCTAAAACACAAGTAATACTTACTGATCATCATTGTTGTATATGACTCAAATGTAAATGGAACTCATAATATTAATGTCAGAGGATTATAGGATATTTCTCGACTCATGTACACTCAGAGTGGTGCATGCCTAATCATCATTTTTCAAAAATGGAAACTAAATATTTAATTCCCACTTAATAAAAATTCTAGCATACTAATGATGTACCGCAATAAACAGACCAAAACAGTAGCACTTTTTATTCATAATTTGTTTATTGATCTCATGTGCTGATTGTTTTGCATAGCGTTAGCTATGCAACATCTTGACAAACAAAACTCAGATTGATCTTGCATGTGTTCTTCAATTACTATTTAATGATAAATGATTGATAGATTATGAGAATTTTAATAAAGTATTATTACAAATTCGTAAAAACTATTAAATATATTATAAGAACTCTCAAGTCACAAATTTAGAATAAACAAGCGTGAACAGAATAAAGGTTTCTCATAGAGGTTAGGTCGTGCATCTACAGCAACATAATTTGACCATAATGTTTAATAAAGAAATTATGAAAATGCTTTGTGCCAAAAGGATCCACGATGATAATTTTGAATTAATGGTACTGCTAGAATTCACGATTCCTCTGATACATTTCGATTTTCTTTACATTAAACGTCACTCACCCCACGCGATCAGAACTAGAAAAGGAAAGAGATCGCACCGCCTGCTGATGTCGGGTGCAGTGGCGCCACTGTCGATCGAACAGTTTGTGTTCGTCGTTCCTAAACTCATAATTTTCGGGTATTAAGAAAAAAAAATATACATGAAAGAAAACCGTAATAATTGTTGATAATACTGAAAAAATGTAGAACGATAACGATTACAATTCAAGATTGAAATTAAATACAAACGACGTTTATTATGTTTGAAGTAATACTTTTGAAATAATTGGTATGTATGATTGAATGATTTAATACAAAAAGATTGTATTAATATAAATACCATCGATTTAGAATATGAAGCGACAAATCTACGTATAAAATGACATAGCGTTTGACATTATACACGAGTCAAAAACAATATTTGTTTTAATATATTCCGTCTCGAAAATAAGCTGTACTTGGACATAAGTCTATGAACAAAAGAAAATTCCTGAATCCTTTGCCGATCGAATGAAAGTGTAATTACTGTTGGAATGTAGAAAAAGGTACTATCGGTTATCGTGAAACTCAACTCCAAAAGTATTTCTTTAAGCCTTATTTCTAAAGCGTATTTTGAAGCGTCGTTGATATTTTCCACGTTTGATCTCAAAGAAGATTCACGCCTGCGCAATTCTGGATGTAACTGCGCATTCGCAGTACATCGGTTTGGAGGGGCGTAGAAAGGAGGCCATATTGTACAGTTAAATTGTAAGAAAGAAAATAATTTATTGTATCGGCCTGCACTCGCGACTGTTTAGTTTCGGTAGTTTTTGTCATTTGCCGTGCTAAACTTCGCATCTTGAAATCGCAAGCATACCGGCAGATCACGCAGTCGATTAATCGAGACTGCTGCCCTTTTGTAAATAAATAAAAGACTTGCTATTCGTGATCAGGACACCGTCCGTCCACCGAGGGAGGAGTTTGTTGCTGCCGCCACCGATATGGGCACTCGAGACGACGAGTACGATTATTTATTTAAAGGTATTGTTGCTTTGTGGTTTTACAATGTTAAGTAGTCATTTAGTTATAGGATCTACAATCTCTCAGCCACATGGTTGCCCATCTTGCGTGAATTTCTTCCTGATAGCATTGCCCAAATTACTGACATTGAGTCTCACGTCATGAGAATTGACGTCGGTTATGAGTGGAAATACCAACTCGCTAATGAATTCTCACACAACTCAAAAGCAAACAGATGGTAGACATCATCGTTTCCTTGCGATTTCGCTATCGCGCTTGTCATGAATCAGTTTCTGAACGGATTCTTGACAAGTCCATTGTGATCTTTCGCGGGAAACGTGGAACTCTTTACAAAGATTCTGAACGTGACATCATCAGTTCTTATGGTACAAAAGCCAACTCTGCACGATGACCCGATTTCCGATTCAGTGCGTATGTCGTCAATCGTAGACACGTAATTATTAGACAAATCTTTTGTCTAATGCCTGTGCTCAAATTTACTCTTGAACTTTCGATCAGTCATACTTTATTTTCCTGTTGCGATGAATGATTTTCATAGAAGATACGACAAAGTTTATTCTTGGAATCTCTGGTAGTTTCTTTTTTTGTAGATTATTCAGCTTAATTTCAATGTGATATACTAACTAGTTTTAATTATTGGTAATGATTCTAATGAATATCATTAGGCACGTTGAATTGGATGAGAAAACAGTAACAACTAAAGCAAAATTATCAAACGTTACTATGTCCTTTACATCATAACACTTTTATTTTTATTAGGTGAATAAAGAATGAGTTATTTACTTTTAGGTTTCACATGTTAGTGTATAATTTTAAAACAGTGCAATTTGGTAAAAAAAAATACATTTAAAGCATTATGCATTATATATTACACTGCACTTGGTTCAAATTTATGATTCGAAGTAGTTGCTAGCTCATTAATCTGTCACACTTATTGTATTTCATATCTGTATTCTGTTAAATTTTATCTTATCAAGTATTTAAAATAGATTTTGGATAGTCATTACTTCTCCGATAAGTTAATACAGTATTATGACAACCATACTCCCTTATTGGCTTCATAAGTTTTTAAGATATGAAGACAGAATTTTTAGAATGGGTACAGTAGGGTACCAGATTCTAAATATGCTACAGAAGCACCTTATATACCTTATGACATATACCTTATATAAAGAACAATATTTTTCCTATGAATTTTGCAAAGCAAACACATTTTGGCAATTAATAATATATAGCCTGCAAAAGTTAAGACAAAGATTTATATAACTTTATAAGAACAACTCGACACCAATATACCATAATAAAAATATCCAATACATTGTATACTAAAGGATAGACATATATCATTTGCATGAAATCACAATTTTTCAACTTGGTTGAAAATAAATGTTCTAGGACAAATTCTTCACTAAAGCTTATTTTAGTCAAGGTAGGGAACCGATCCAAGCTGACTCCCACCACGTACATGCTCATATAGAGTTGTAAAGTATGCGTTAAATAAGTGTGCAGCTGGTAACATAATGTTTCATAAAAGTCTATACGAAAACGAAAGCTTAGCGCAATTCTTTTGTTATACACTGATAAAAAGATATTTATATTTTATGGTATTTCTATTACTCTATAAAAATATTCATATTTGGAATGGCAAATAGACTATTGTAATTTGCTTCATACATCATAAAAGTATACAGTGTAACCTCGTGTAACATTTAACATCATTACCACAGCTTGTATTCCCCGATTAATTAATACTTACTCCATATTTGATTTATTACTCATTAAAAGTCACTTTTGAAGTTCCAGCATTGCTGAACGGTTTTATTGAAATCGTAAGATCGAACGCTGATTTAAATATTCAACAGAGAGAGTCATTGCATTACATCACATATATAATTTCCTCGTTGTCCATTCATTCATTTAATTTAAATTGCGTAGGCGGTACATCAGATTCCACATCAAGAACTATTACACTAAATCAAGTTACAAGACGACTAATATGTTGAAGGTCAAGGTTCATGTGTTTCACATGCGGGTCAATGCAACCGATTAAAGCAAAATTCGAGATCCCAACTAATGCCTCTTTTATACATCAGTTACGGGAAAATAACTAGTCAATCTTTTGTCTGTGACTCACAGGCCGGAACTTGATGGAGATTAGGAATCAGTTATAACGTCATCAGTGACAGACTCAAAAATCATGATTTTTAGAGTATGACAAAAGCCGGCAATTATTTTTCATCATATCGAAAAACATTAGCTATCATCTTATATATTATTGAAACATACAAAATTATGGTTTTTATCGTAATATTAAAATCGTTATTCCTTAAACAAAGAAATAACGAATAATGTGTAAAGATCACTGTATTGTACTTATGTATACGACACAAAAGTTAAAGAGGTTCTTGTCGCTTTTTGTGGACTGTATATTTCATACTGAAACATGACTGTTCCAAAAAAAAAATTTGTAAAGTTAATGCAAGATCTAAATCGGTAATACGAAGTATAGAACGCATTTCGAATTGAATACATGACTACGTGATATGACGTTTCTCATAGGATGCTCCATTGTATAGTTGTATATATTTTACGCTGAGAATGCCATTTATATTTACTTTTATTTGTTTTGTGCCTTGTTAGTGTATTATATGGAATCATGTATGTGTATATATGTATATATACTTTTTTTATTACAGTGGTTCTCATCGGAGACTCTGGAGTAGGAAAGAGTAATTTACTCTCTCGCTTCACACGAAACGAATTCAACCTCGAGTCAAAATCGACCATAGGCGTCGAGTTTGCGACGCGCAGTATACAGGTGGATGGTAAGACTATCAAGGCTCAAATATGGGATACAGCTGGACAGGAACGTTATCGTGCTATCACTTCAGCGTAAGTTTACTTGAAAATCACAAATAAAAGATCATTGCATATTACACGCGGATGTAAACTACCATGGAGAATTGTATCAACGTCATTTTAACTATCCTCAAATTGAACATAAAGTGCCAGTTATTGTGGCATATTGATATTCAATTATTGTAAACAACTATTGTTGATAACCCTTCATCGTATTTGTGCAAAATACCTCAACCTCAGTGTTGATTCATGTGTATTAAAAAATAATGTCATTCTTAGCAATAATATATAGTGCAGTAGATTTTTAAAAAGACAGTCCATCGGCACAATGCCCTATGAGTTTTTATAAATTGTTCATCAGGTAATGACATATCCAGTAATCTTTCGCAACCTAAAACTATTCATTCGAAGTGAAGAAATATGGTAAAACTACTTATATGGAGACATGCAATGATTATAATTTCAAAGTAGAATCTATTGAATTTTAAGAATTTGCTTTATAGCATATCTATCGTATACAAGATTTACATTTGATATCAGCAGTGCCCTAATTCCAATTTTACTTTTACGATTTACAGGTATTACCGTGGGGCGGTCGGAGCACTACTTGTGTACGACATAGCAAAACATCTGACGTACGAAAATGTGGAAAGATGGTTGCGAGAACTGCGGGATCACGCTGATCAGAACATCGTGATTATGCTAGTGGGCAACAAGTCGGATTTGAGGCACTTGCGCGCCGTACCCACCGACGAGGCCAAAGCCTTCGCCGAAAAGAATGGTCTCTCCTTTATCGAAACGTCTGCCCTGGACTCGACCAATGTCGAAACTGCGTTCCAAAACATATTAACAGGTAAGATTGCGAGAGATTGTCGATTTGAATTCCCACCACCCTTTTAAACTGCTTGTATTCTACTGATATTTCGTTGTCTTATTCTTTTTAGAAATATACAGAATCGTGTCGCAGAAACAGATTAGAGATCCACCCGAAGGAGATACAATCCGGCCACAGAACGTAGAACCTATCGACGTCAAGCCAACGATGAACTCTGACGGAATGCGCAAGCAGTGCTGCCAGTGACTCGCCTCGCTGCTTTATATGTGAGTAACACGTATAATTTTTCTTTTTACAAAACCCTGTATTCCAGACTTTAGTCGCAACAGTAGATTCAGATTCAAAACACAGAAGCCCGTGGCATTCCAAATAAACGCATCTCTCGATACATACCTTCCATGAAATTATTCCTCGTACTATTCAATACGAAGCAAATTATTCCAGAGTTGGTAAATCTAGTACGTAAACTTGACTCGTGTAAACCTTTGCCTGTCATTTATTATCATGGAAAAGTGCAGATAACTACTGACGTCGGATGCAATTAATAATGCCTTTCAATTGACACTGACATAAATGGAATTACAAAGTAGAGTCAATAAGATTATCGTAACTGTAATCACATCCCATATCGATCCCGGTTCTTGCCTCCCATAAAGCAGCGATGCTCCACGTGCCCAGCAAGATCTAAATGTTCTTTTCTAGAAGCGGTAACACGGAGGGAGGAAAGGAGGAGAGAGTGGTGGCTGGTGGTAGATATAGCAGGTGCGTAAGAGCACGAGAGCTAAGACTATGCGTACGGGCCGGTGAAATCGTATGCTAGAAGAGTCTGACGGTCAGTTCGAGCAATAGCACCAGGGGGTGACGTGGACTATCCATGCATAGAGGTAATATAAAATTACGCGTAAACACGATACTAGTGCGTATTAACATCGAGCGACGAGAACAGTGAAGCGCCGGGACGAAACAGAGAATAAAGAATATCGGGGGGGAGAGAGAGAGAGAGAGAGAGAGAGAGAGAGAGAGAGAGAGAGAGAGAGAGAGAATGAAGAAGAAAAAAGAGAAATCGAAGAATCTAAATAATCAACAACGTATTACGAATATGCAAAGGACAAGAAAGCGCGCCCCAAGATACACGATGCGATAAGCGCGATAATACACGCTGTGGCCCACGCACCATTCTGCCCTCTATTTAAATTTGTCTTATTTACGATATATATATATATATAAAAAAGGTATATATATATAAGTATATATATATTATGTTATCATAATTGAATGTTGTATTACCGCTTCTTTGTAATACATATATCATTATTCTTCTCTACGCATAGTGTGACCGTGAGTATATAAACAATTTATAATAATATATTTACGATGGAAATCATGTGAGCGTACGTCGTAATACACTAAGGGGTGGAAGTGGGGGGGAGTTGGGAGGAATTTGTGGAAGTTCAACGGCGACGAAGAGAGGATATATTGGAAGGATCGATGGACCATCGAAGAGATACGATAATTTTGGAATTTTTGGAGAAAAAAAAAAGAGCTGCTAAATTTTGAGGAACCCTGTTGCTCACTGTCCGTTCTCGCTCTCCACGTAGTAGAGTTAAACCGTACGCGCTAGGCACTAAGTCTCTACATGCTTTTCGATTGCGTTCTTTTTACGAGAGGCTTTTTACGTCTGAAGCTATGCATAAGTCAAAATGACAAAAAAAAAATCCACGCGTATGAAATCATACATAGGCCCTTCTTCGAATCTTTGTCTCTTTAAGTGAATGCCACCCGGGAGATATTATTTTTCATTACCTATAACGAAATTGTTTCGACGTGTGTAGCCATAATGTAATAAAAAAAAAAAAAAAAAAAAAAAAAAAAAAAAAAAAAAAATAGTCCCCAACTACCGAATCCCACTAACCAACTCGACAACTGGGACACGGATCGTCGTAAAATCGCGTAACCGTTCTCCTCGCTTAGAAAGCATCCAATCCTCACGGCTGGTACCCCAAGTCTGAATCGCGGCCTCCTTGAGGTTTTAAGAGAAATCCCGGCAATCCCACTTACAATTACAGCACGATAATCATGCTCGGTTAGAGATTAAAAAAAATTAAAATATCAGGAAAACCCCCCTCCCTCTGTCTCGTATATAAGGCTAAAAAAAAATATAAAACTAAGAGCGAGCGAAGCATTGTAAATTGATATCTACGCTTTTGTGCACTACACGAGAGATTAACGAAATCTAATTAAATACCTAATATTATGCTTTAGACGAAAGCACCCGGGGGAGGATTTAAATGATAAAAGGAGTGAACGAAAAATTATGAAGGAAAACAATTAAACACACCGTTATTAATTATACCACGTTATGCGTAATTGACTAACCTTATTGTTAATCGCTATTATTTTACATCTCTTCTATTCAATTTTTTTTTTCCCTTCTTTTCTTCAACGACCAATATCCGTGCGGAAATAAAGGTACTTCTTTCGTTAGCCAGATCGAAAGAGAAGAAGCGTGACGGTCGAAACTCCACGTCGACATTTTACACGTTTTTATTTATCTGTAAGTGTATCGATTTTATTTTATATTTTTCGTCAAACCGCCGCAAAAGGTTCATTCTTGCATCGACGTTGCGCCTCGACCGTAGTTTCGTGTCTTTGATTCGTGTTAGTACTCTGCGCACCTGGATCATATTGAGATAGTAATTGGGTAAAGTCGTAGCTTCGAATATACGTTTTATTATTTTCTAGTTGAAGCTACGTTTATACATTATGAATTTATTAACGAGATAGAAAATAAAAAACGAAGCAATCAAAATTATTACGACTTGGTTCGTTTATTTCCTTACTATTATTGTACGGGAAGAAAATATTGTGATTAAAGTAATAATGGAGGACACTTTAATGTCGCTGTGATACTTGTCTTCTTTTCACTCGTCAATATACATATATCCCTCCTTCTAGATTGTATAATAGTTTCTGCGAATAAATGATGACTCGAGGTCATGAACGATTTATGATTAGAGTTTAAAGTGCGTGTGCCATTGCGCCATTGTTATTAATCCTTAACGCGAAGAAGTTGATAAATCCAATGATGAATGTGATTGATGTGTGTTCAGCTGTTGTATTGGATAATGAAAATTATGTGAAAATTTAATATCTTAGGGCATCAGTGATACATGTACCGTACTAAGAAACTTAAGTCGGTACACAATGATTCTAGGATCGGGGTTGTCATTAGGTGATTGCCAGTATGGCCCTGAATTAAAATATTAAATGATCATTTATTCTTAGTATAATTTTGAGCAGTAGTTTTCTGCGTACTGCGAATAAATTTTCTACATAATAAATCTTTTCTAAGCTGACCTCGTGGCCTCAGCTAGGACCAGTGCCAAATTGGCGGTTCCTCGAAATTACACAGCGATACCTAACGACTTACTGTTCTAGCATTAAGATTATAATAGGAAAGTCAGTGACGTTCATTATTTGGACTGACAATGATAAAAGTCCTGTATTTGGAGTCCATCCAAAAGTTACGACTTTTGAAGGTCTTGCTCGTGCAGTTAAATGCATTAATCTTTTGTCGTGTTTTATAAAATATACAGCCAAAAGATGACCATATCGACGCGATGGCCTTCTCCGAGTCGTACGACACAATTTGTTCTGATTTTATTCGCGGCGCACGTTATTTCGGCATAACAATCGGAATAAGATTTGACGTATTATTCACGAGAAGATAAAGCTAAGAAGCTGCGGATACCGATGCTGGCTCAAGGCGAACGGTATTTCTCTGCGCTCCAGCTCGTTGACATTTCTGCCTCCATTCAAGCCATCGCAACAATTCTGGATTTTGCGTTGCGTCATTGGTGTCAGTGCGCGCTTCCAGTTGTTGATAATACGCGTCTCGTAAAAGTCGAAATGTCTGTATATTTCTGTAAGGCTGTTGTGTTATGGGGTCGAGGTATCTTGCGGGCAGCCTGAAAATAACAGCAGGTCAAAACGGTACATGGATTAGTTTTGAACTACGATCAGAGCTTTACGTGACAGAGAACTAAGTACAGATTGATTGTCCGATTTGAGAACAATACAGTTTATGGCTGCTCAATTAATCGGTACCGTTATCGGACGGTATATCTAACGCAACTGTAATTTGTTAATTGCTTTTAACTGTATCGTTTAATGTACCACAAGTGTATGCACGCACTAGATAGTTACATTTCGGAGTATAAAATAGTTATTCTTACCGTGTGATAGCGCAAAGGGCCTTCAGCGGAGGTCTAGGTACGGCTGACTTCTTAAAAGCCGCATTAAACAATTGTTCATTCTCAAAGGTGATAAATGTCCTCTCATAAAATGAACCGGTTTCTTGTACGCTAAGACCTGCATCCTTTCGAACGATAGAAAATGTATTATTGATATAGTAATTTAATCGGGGGAAAAAAAGTATTTAAGAGCATACCTCCTGGGACTCCGGTTTTTTCTCGATCGAATCACTGAAGAATTTATAAAATGGTAAATTAGAAATTAATATTTTTTGTACGCGTTAATATAGTACTTGTTTGTTCTTACCTTTCTGATGCTAAAGGTTCTACTTGAGAAGGATCCGATGTCGGTACGGCACTTTTCTCGTCGTCGCCTTCTACATTAATTTTTTCTTCTTCCTTTTCTAATGGCGATTCAGACAGAAGCATCACGGGCATCGACAAGGATTGATATCGTATCATGGGACCAACTTGAGTTTTTCTTACTGTTCTCGTGTTTTTCTTTTCATTTTCCAACTTTTGATATTTTTCTGTTTTGTAAAAAAAAAATTGTAAGGATAAACTGACTGAATCAACATTCCTTTTTTCTAGCAAGAGAAAGTATTTAGTTTTTGTATGTCGTACCTAACGATTTAAGATTAATTTCCTCGGTTAATAGAGCTTCTTCCAAAAGTTCCTGTTGTGTTGGTTTCCATGTATCGTGTCTCACAATCTTTACCTTCTTCTTTTGATCTTCGTTTCTTTCTCTTAATCTCTTCTGTGTTGCAGCAGATTTTGCAGCTGTTGAGCGACGAATTGATTTTCTTTCTGTAATATTTTGAGAAGAAATATACATGAAAACAAATGTCAAAGCCTTACTTTCATGTTTAATGTACTTCTCACTGCTAATATCATTCAATCTTATATGTACAGGTGTTTCAAAAAAAATTTTTATAGAAACATTTGATGTTAAGATCGAGTTGTCATGTTTTGAGAGTATTATTGTATTAGATAAAATACCAGTATTATCAAATGAAAATCTCCCTTGTCTTGGAATCTTCTTTTTTCTTTCTTTTGGAGTGGATTGCGGTTGTGTAGAAATAACTTTAGGTTCCTTATATGCCTTTGTTATGAGTCTGCGTTTCTTTTTAGGTCCTTCTTGTTCAGGATCAGAAACAGGCTCGTCGTTCTCATCGATACTAAAGTCTGAATCTACTTCATCCTCGCCTTCGTCTTCCTCCCTATAAGTAAAAGTATTTAATAAATCTGACCAGTAGGTATGACCAAATTTATAATGACAGATTCTAACATATAATCATTATCTTGTTCCACTTCTTCAAAACCGCCATAGGTAGTTTTGTAAAAGTCATCGTCCTCCTCCTCGTTTAACAATTTAGCCATTTTATTTCCGGCATTGAAGCGTCTTTCCCTTGACGACGCCATGCTTTAAATAATTTTATCAACTGCAGTACAATTAACAAATTAACGCTTTGTCTTTTAAGGTTAGATTCTAACAACTCTAAACCACTTTTATTTCAACCATAGAGCAATAAGTTTTCCTAAGAAGGTCGAACAATGTGCATCATTTGGTTCGATTACGCCTGCGCCGCAATGGTTAATTTCAGAAACTCAGTATGGCGATTTCCAATGGAATGACTCCACAACTACTTTTTGTCCCCTATTGGACATCCTGGCTATATACTCGACAAATAGCAGAGCCTACACGTGCACGTTTCCCAGAATAACAGTAGGGAGCGTGCGAAACAAAGTGGAAATCCCAGGAATGTGAGTTGGCGGCGTGCGGAAATCGTAGTCCACGTGCAAGGGTATCAGGCCTGGTGGTCGCTCTGAAGCAAAGGTAGTCCGTGTTCAGAGTTCGGCCGAGTCCGTCCTAAGGCTCTCGCGTACCGAGCAGTGCCGAGTGTTCTACGTAGCTGGCTGTAGGAGTGGGAGAGGGTAGGAGGTCTAACTTTACACCAGTCATCGGCAGTGTTCGTCTCTCTGGCTGCAGGTTTGGTGGTTCCATTTCGCAACGAAGACTTGGGAGTGAAGGTTTCTTTAGTCCAAGTAGCAACGACAGACGGTGGTGGTGACGACGGCAGCATTAATAATCCAGAAGAAGCAGCAGTTGTTCTCGGTGTCTGTGAATATCAGTGATTGCGAGCGTCAGGACCCACGTCGCGGAGTACGTGATCGCGACGGAAATGCCGATCAGTTGTTAAGAATTATGTGGGATACTGTCGCGGGATCGCGATCGGCCACACGTCAAGTCAGCTGACATATTGCGCCCTGCTACGCGAGAGCAGCCTTCGGTAAGTGTCCCAATCGCGCAACCTGCCCCTCTTCGAGGCACTATTTTTACCCGCGCGCCTCGACAAGGCTCGCGAGTGCGCGGCGATCGTGATACGGACATGCTGTATGTCCTTGCAAAAAAAAAAAAAAAAAAAAAATGATCTGCTA